TCTCTTCGAATCTTAAGATCATCAGTTAATGGAAAAGTTTGAGTCTGTAATATTAGACAAATTATTGGTAGATAATAGGAGGAGGAGGGATTCAAAATTCAGAGCTCGCGACACTAATTGTCATCGGGAGCCGTCCAAACACAGTGGAAAGGATCCAGAAGGCTTGTGATATTTGTCATGACTGATCTGAGAGCTGATAACACCCACTAATTTAGGCTTTAGGCATTAAAGTTTATGATCGACCCTATAGAAGTCCAGGATGCGCATATGGACAGGTTGATATGAACAGAGAGATAAAGTTCAGGTATTCAAAATTTTCATCAAATAATTACATGTTTGTATATACCGATGAGTAATTTGTTGCTTATTAAGAGTGTAATTCAAGTTAAAAAATGTGATGTCCTCAAGTGCGTTCATTGATTTGTCTTTGAAGTTATAGATTCTAGACTACTACGATCCAAGGAAGTGCTAGTTGTTACACAAAATATTACTGTTTCCACCTACTACCGGCCAGTTCGAAAGCGGACTATGTTATGAGCCAGAAATCAAGTAGTTATTGGGCGAATGGTCATCTTTTTCGTTACACTGTTTCAATTAGAGAAAATTAAACGCACAAACAAAGTGTGAAGTCATACTACTTGTAAGGATGTGACCTAGAAATTGAACATAACAAGGTAACTCAATTGAAGATTTCTCAACAGTGATTTTGCCAACTAATAGCAAGAAATAAATTGTATATCTCACTGCAAATCTTGACCTACAGATAGCAAAAAACCTCGTAAAGTGATGAGTCAACCTAAGAATCCTGTGACACTGTCAGTATATACTGTCGATTTTGTGAGTAATATTGCGGAAAATAAAGGCAATAAAGGATTGAGAACAGTTGCTTGATTACAGTCATATTGTCTCTCAGTGCATGAATTGCCTTTGTACTCTGATTCAGCATCCAAATGTGACGTCTCGCCATACCTTCCGCAGCAGTGATGTTGGAAAACACTAGAATATTTTTCTTTGCCTCGATAAACCTTAAATCCCATAGTTTGTTCAAGAATGGTTGTCCTTCGTATTAGAAACTACCCGGAACATGAAAATCTGAGGATATTCGTTGTATGATCTCTGTAGGCGGCTCCATGATTCTTCCACTGACAGATTCCAGACATTTCTTAAGCTTTCATTTGAGGTCTCAGAGTTGGCCACCCTCATGTATGTCTTTCATATGTTAGGACGAAAGTATACATCCACTAGATAGGTCACAGTAGCAACAAACTTGAATATGAGTTCATGATCACTTCTGCCTGTAAATGGAGGGTAAGAAACTTAACTAAAATCACCTCTTCATGTGAGGAATTATTTCTGAACAGGTGGTGGTTCATGTTTTACCAAGAGTTACTTTGTCATGCAGACTAGAGTGATAGAGAAGGGCTGGAGAAGAAAAGAACATGAGGAAAGGTGGGTTGACGCAGCATGCGGCACAGTGCACTTATATTTACAAGGAAAAGCAATCAGAAAGAGCATAAACTCTACATTAAGACAATCTTGAACTCGAAATCAAAACTTTACGTCCGGCTAGTTATCGTGTAATTTATTCGCTAGTCGAAATACGACATATTCACACTTTTACTGTACTAAATCAGTGAAGTTCGACTGGTCTGATCAGCCTAGCGTCCTTATTAGTCCCTTACTCACCTAGCCCGTCCAGTTGAGTTCAGAATGCTAATAACAGCTTCCACTATGCAAATCATTTATTTCATACATACTTGATTTATATACCAGCCAAACAGACCACATCACACCTTAAAATAGGAAATAACATTTATACAAAATGAAGCCAAAAGTGACTGTGAACGTGGGAGACAGTAATTAATAGACTGAACATAACTTAAGAACACTAAATCATACAATAACAAATTATAGGTCATAATGAAGCTTATAATTAAGGGGATATGGATATACACAGTCTCGTTACTGAATAGTTATACAATTATAATATGTAGATCATATTATTCCGTTAATAAATCTCAAACGTTAATCTTTATTTATTCTTCTCTAGGGTATAACAGATAACTGAAGTCGCCACAAATTATTTAGAGCATATCTTGCAGGAATTGTATTGGCAATAAATCGTGACGACATGATCATTAGTGCTGAACATACGAAACCACTTATGGTTTGCGATGCCTTTTGAACACTTGCTTGGGAAAAGGTCAGACAAACAATATCTGAGGGCGACCAAAGGAGATAGTATGGTTTGATCATGCACGAATGATAGATCTGCGTAGCCTCTTGATCTTCACATTAAATACATTGTTTCACTCTCATCTTGAATATGCTCTGTAATTGCTCCCTAAAAACTACACCACTGACTGTCACAATAGGACGAGTAAAAATAAGCAAATATATGACTTCGACTTTATATGTGGTAACCATATCATGACAAGTGTACAACGTTGAACTGTATCCATCACTATGGTAGCATAGATAAATTTGCCAGCGATGACGTATACCCAAATCCTACAGAATCCCTAATGCATTGATTTAAAGCTAGTGCGATTGTCATTTCGAGGTGTTTTGAATCATGTGATTTCGCTGATGCCTGTCCTTAAGTTCAGTTTGCCAACTGTTCACCGAAGTCACCTATCACAAGATTTCTGCACCTGAATGGACAGTATTTGCTTGGAATGAAATCACGTACCTCTATGTTAGTTTTCGTTTTGCTTGACGATCGAGGAGAAGTAGATTCAGTGAGAACTATAATGCAAATGTTCCCGAATATATATTTCCTTAAATGAATTGACTATCATATACACTAGCAGTAAACAATCAAAGTACAACTGGATAAAGTGGACACAACTGGACAGAAATAATAAGAAGATATAAATATCACCACAACTAGATCTCTGTGTAACTGCATTGGATTTCTATTGACAATAACAGTTAGAGTCACCAGCGATCGTATCGTAGTGAAATAAATCTAAGATTGGATCAGACTAGCCTAACCCATATGGTACTGAAATTCATTCAAGCTGTTCAGAGTACTAATTAGACAATGTGTCTCAAGTATTTATACATCAATCTAGTAGTAGAATGTGATTAAAATATGGATAGATAGACAGGCAACCTGAACTAGTCAGACAACTGAGCGCAAGTTAACAAATGCGACTGAAATAATACATTTAACAGTCACATGTTCAGTTAAATTAGCACGCAGTTGTGTGCATTTAATATATCTGTACTAAACATCATAAAGTGCATGTCTATGTACATACAAAATATTAATTCACAGTTCTAAGGGTTCCAGACGTTACAGTGACATCTAGGAAATCAAAGATGGAGCCTACATATTTATTGCCCAATTGGACTGTGAAGAAGAGAAAAACTTATCGAATAAAGCCTAAAAATCTACGAAGTCAAGTTCCGAGAGGCTATTTGTCTTCCAAAGAAACTTTCCGAAAGCCATTTTCCTTAGGAGCTTTCTGAATCCTTTTTGTGCTCTATTCTGTATAATTGAAGTTTGCTAACTCCTGCTATAGAACCTTGGGTAGTAATGTTCAAATCTAGCCTCTGAGTTTCTTTTGGAAAATTGTCTGAGACTGTAGAAGATGACTGGCCAATTTTGTAGGTCGGACATGATGTTTCCTGAGATTTTTCATTAAGCTTCTAGCATCGCAGTTTGTTTGGCCAACCAACTTATGAGCTTTAATTTTGGTTTTCTCCTTTGATTTTCTTGGTGTCATTTTGAGATATTTGTTTAATTTACTGTGCTTCTGAAACAGTTCCTTTACCTTAAGGAGATCAGGCTCTGATGTTGTCTTTACTTAGTTGGTGAAGGATTCTAAGTCTGTATTGAGAGCTCTAGGCTTTCTGGCGCCCCTTAATTTCCACCCGTTCTTCTTCTTCCCATCTTCGATTTTTTTAGACAAACTGTGCATCAGTATGCTCATAATCTACAATGTTTCTGAGATATATTGTATTTTTTTATTTTGATCTGATTTTAGATAGATAATGACGCTTAATTTGTCTTCGATATTTGCCCAGCATTTCGTGTTACCTATAACTTATTATTCATTTAAAGGAAGTTCTATGGTGATGTTCAGCAACCTGGTCGAGTAAAATATCAGCAAGGAACTTTCACAGGAGCTGAATCATAAGGTTAACAGGTATGTGGTTTGTAACATCACCCAAAGGAGTCAGGATGAGTCCAGTGCACTTGTAATGCGATTACTTATTGCAGATATAACGTTGTATAACTAAAGCGAGGAGATTTATATGGGTCTACCACAACGATACTTTATCCGACCTATTTAATTGAAAAAGTGGTGTGTGAGAAGTCCTGATTGGATAATGAAAAATATTTAGTTATTCTAAGGACTATCGAATATAAAAATCTGGAGGTCACAAATGAACTCGCATTCAAGTTACATCACTGGGCACACCCGAATACCCTGCATTTCACAGTTTTAAATACAGATTCAGGTCTGTGTTGTAAGGACAGAAGGCTTACGGCCTATGTTATCCCTTTTCTAGTATGTTTCTGTGAGTGTCTAGTCTTTTCTTAAATGATTCACTTGAAGGTGAGCACCACTGCTTCGGGCAACATATTTCGAGAATTGGTGACTAGGTGTGAAAACCTGTGTACCAGGTGGAACAATGTACAAAGTTATTTTCTCTGCATACAAGTACCACTTGAATGGACATAACACTGACACTGAAAAAAAACAATATCTAGACGACACTTTAGATGATAATTTAGTCCGACCAAAATAAAAGTTTCCACACTTTGAGAACGACCAAGATCAAAAGATTTACTCATTAGGGACAGATATCACTGAAACTTTTAAATAGCGCTCGTTTACATTTATACAAAATTAAAGATAAATAAAAAAATTATAAAATAATGAAACACCTTAGTATAACTTTAGCACAAATTAAATATGCTACAGTCTGTTTTACGTTTTTTTCCACAATGATGTTAAACACTGCGAACTAAGTTGTTGCGTTCCATTTTTGGACCAATCAGGGTTGGATTATTTTCGTCGCGCATTATTATAATGTCTTTATGTGTGGGAATTTCGATAGCACTTTCTTGGTAGTATTCAGAGTCGATTATATTTTTTAAGAGTCTGTAATTATGTTTTAGTGTACGTTTTTAGTGGTAAGGATTCTGGGTGTTATCATGTAACTAAATTAACTTGACAAGTAATACCATGCTCAGGATATCATTTTTATTGACCTAATCTTGTAAATATTTTAAATCCATATTTTCATATTATGGGACTCATCCTATTAAGTATTTAGTGAATGCTTGGAACCTTTATATAATAACTCCCAGTAACTAGGATCTTACAACTCTTACGAATGTTAAGTTTTAAAAGATATGTAGGTCAAAAAGGTAAGTATATAGTTCAATTATTCACAATAAATCACAGGCAGTGCCTGGGTAAGTTAATGATGGCATTGATTTCAATATTTGATAAGGGTTAGTTGTGAATCATAGTTTCCAATTCTTGTTGTCAGTGTTGATTCACTATAAATCTTTGATTCTTGAATTTATGAGTTATTGCAACCCACTTGTAAGGGACTAGGTCACACGTACTTAGGACTTATTTGGAACTTGGACATAGGATTTGACGTACAAAACACATAGTGATCCCTCCTCTCCAACACTAATTTGTCGGATTTAATAATACTGTCAGCGACCTATCAGATTAGGAAGTAAACTATGCAGTCGTATAGTACCATTGTTCTTACAAATTTTACTTGATGGGGATGTCATTAAACCTTAAAAACACTTGGTTGGGGTTGTGTTGTATATTGCACTGCACACAGCTTACTTGGTTTCCCCCGACTTGCGCCACTTGTGGTGCAGATGAGATATCAATCTGTCTCTCAAAAGGCAAGTACACTGTACATCATCCTGCTCTATACTGCTTAGTGGTTGCATAGTATTGCCAGTGCAAGTGTAGGTTATTAGTATCCGATCCCATCTCTTCAAAGCATTTTTCGAGTATTACGAAAACAGGGAGTAATTCTAAATTTAAGCATTCGCTTTTTTGGTGAAAATAGTTACTTGATTTATGGTTAGGTTATGTACTGCTAATATAATAGATAAGGAATTACAAACCTTTTAAGTGCTCTCTGCTCGAACACTATTGGTCGGGTCAGCCTATAGCGAATCACTACCAGAATTGTTAACCTCAAATGGTGTTATTTAGTTATCTCTCGTTTAATTGGCTTGGCGATATACGCTTCTCTAGCAACAGCACTTTCTACACTCCGCTTTCCAGCGGTTGGTCTCTCTTCAGATAGTTCATTTATCGGCTAGAAATACCCAGGTGACGACGCTGACAAAATGCAATGTTGATCGTTTTAAGTGACTTATATGAAATGCTATCCCATCTCTAGTTACTTGGCGTTGCTTCATGACTGACCTGGGTCTACACCTGAATTAATGACAGAAAAGTAATTAAGCATGCCGACCACTTGTCTTGAAGGTCTCACCATCCCTTGGGAGCTAGTGTCTGACGGAAACTCGGGACAAATTCAGAAAGCTTGGTTAGATTTTATCAACTTACGTCACTTATCTCATAGCCAAGATGTCCATCTGCCAACTAAGGGCATGTATACACAGCAATACGATCTGTATTACTTTATGGCTGTGAAACGTGGTCTATATAAGCAGAAGAAATTGGTAGACTGAAGATTTCTAGTCACAGAGGTCTTCAAAACATTGCTTGCGTTTCTTGGAATGTCACTGGCTCAGATGCACTCACCGTTTCTGTTCCTCTAGACCTTGTATTTCAGTATTCCTTCATGCATTTTACTTATTATTTGTTTATTTATTTGGACACAAATATTAATACAAAGGGGAACCGACACCGTTTATTTATTTATTTAAACTCATAAACATTGTTACAAAGGAGCACCAAAATATTTAGGGTCCAAACAAATCATTAAATTTGTTTGTGGGCTAGGATACTACCCTGTTGTCCAAACCGAAGCATGCGGTTTTCTCGAAGGCCGCTCCCTGATCCTTTGATCCAGGGGTCTAATCCGCAAGGCAGTGAAGCACTGTTAAGAAATATGGTCTCATGATAGCTAGTGATGGGTTCATGTGCCATTTATTCCCTCATGATCCTGGAACCCATGTGCACCATTGGTTTGGAATCATGGTTTTCCAACTCCCCTGGCCAGACACTCAGCACTCGCCAACCCAGTTTAGGCGCCGGAAGTTAGCTTTTTGTCTTCTGAATTTCATGAACAGTACCCTGGTCGCAAAAAGCCAGTGAATAGGATTTCCCTGACAGTGGCTATATATGCGTGACTGTATGAGAGCATCTCAAGAGAGTGAGAGGATCCACTTCACCCTTGGCTGTACCAAGGCCTTTGAGGTCACTCATGGGGTTTACGTCAATACCGATACCTCACTTTTGTACGCAATTATCATTCAGCCACATCGTATCAATGTTTATTATCGACTGATCAACATTTTTAACAATCTAAAACTGTTTGGATAATCAAATCATCAAAAATTTTCCATAGCACCTAGGTATGCTCAATCACTTTCTACTGCAACATACAGTGGTAGCAAGTTTTGGCACAGGTTTAAAGGAAGTTAGGGATGATCAAACCAGCATTAATCTAGTCAGTGACTGTTGCTATGAACCGTGCGAAATTCGTGGTTTAGGTTAGCACAATATTCGTAATCCATGGTCGAGAATGTTGGAGATGTCCTAAAATCACTTAAAGTAGCTTAGATGAATCTATTGTTTGTATACCACTAGGTCATAAGTTTCAACATTGTCCCATAATTTTTATTCCTCAAATTCACTCTTTTCTAAACCGCATTCTCTATATTTAGTCTTCTTCACCATCATTGATATTATTAATTTCGATTCTCTTGCTACTCATCCTGGTAAATTTATCTCCCTGTGTTGATGTGGTTAGTTCACTTTTTCAAATCCACATTCTTCCTAGTTTCTACATCGATTGTAACTGACCAACTGTATTTTGTGCAAGCAGATGTATCTATTTCATTGTAATCGTTCCTCAGATCAAAACATATCCAACCCCTAGATAGAAATAGGAAAAGTAAAGCCGAAATTTTGAAACAACAGGGACGTCATCCCTCATGTATAGAAAGTAGTGGACCACTTTATCAATCTGTATGTAGTTATTTGACAATACGATAGATGGCTGAGGTGTGTTCCATTTGTTTAACCATCATCATCTACTTCAACGCTCAATAATGGTTGGCGTGGGGAGAGATTTAATGAAAAAACCGGTCAAACTATAAGATGGCATCAGTTAATAAATCCATTTAATGCCAAACTGAGTTGTAGTGATAATTGCAAGCCACTTGTTTGAAGTTTTCTTGGCAATTACCACCATTAGTTAAAGATTTCGGGTAACGTGACTCAGAATCTGGCAAACTGACCCGGATCTTTTGATTTCTACCTTTCGAACTATGTTTTTAATGTTTAATCTTACAATCATTGATACTACCACTATTTCGTTATTTATACAATTAAGTTCATCCCATGTATCAAATAAATAAGTAAGATGTATAGCTTTATCTCATGTTAATGTGGTTTGAGAATTCGGGGGATAGCACATTTACGCCTGTTACTTTTAATGGAGCATAGGCAGCCGACCAGCATTCTCCAACCCAATCTGTCCTGGGCCTTCTTTTCTAGTTCCATTCAATTCTTGTTCATTTTTGTCGTCTATCTTCATTTCTCGGCGTAATGTGTTCTTTGGTCTTCCTCTTTTCCTTTGGCCTTGAGGATTCCAAGTGAGGGCTTGTTTTGTGACGCAGTTGGATGCTTTCTTCGATGTGTGTCCTATTCACTTCCTGATTTCTTCCTCCGCTGGAATCTGGTTTGTTCTCTCCCACAGTTGGTTGTTGCTAATGGTGTCCGGCCAAGGTTAAAAAACGCTGACCAGGTTCCGGGATAACTATCGATAAATGTGATCCACATCTGATCTCCAAGATCTTAGCGTTTTTTGAAGAGTAAAATTTTAATTCTGACGTCCTCAGAATATGAGGTTTAACATTGTATATACTTGAGATTTAAATCGATATCTTTTATTGCATATATTTTAGACCAGGTCTTAAACAATTATGACTTTTGATTCATATCCTGTAATCTCTAACCATCCACTTTATTTCAGAAATCCCCACTAGTACAATACTTTTCGGTTATAATGTATTCAGTTACTTCAATCAATTTTCGAACAGCAGTTAGTACTATTTTCGGTCTCAACTTTTTCTATGACATCATAGGATGAGTTATCCACCAGATGCTTCACGTTCATGTCATGAAGCTGATGGACGTAGTGATCGAAGCGGTGGTAGTGGTGGTGCAACTAGTGGGAGTGGGGGCGGTGGTGTTTATGGGACATTATGCAGTGCATTTGGAGGTAGCAACTGGTCAAGCAATACTGCATCATATGAAGTTGGACATGATCCCATAATTTCCGTAGCTCCATCAAATACAAATGAACGGATGATTTCAAATTGGAAGAAATGGTCGTTAGGTTTGGATTATTTACTTCAGGATAGTGAAGGTGTAGCCCTTTTTAAATCTTATCTTCAATACGAAGGTTGTGCAAATCTTCTTGATTTTTGGTTTGCATGTCAAGGTTTCCGGAGTAAAGTTGATCCTTCTGATCACCGAAAAATAACTCAATTGATTAAAGCAATTTATCGTACGTACATTAGAGGGTCTAGCAATAGTCTTAATTCTCAACCTCTCCTTTATTTGGGGAAGCAACAGTCCACTCCTGTGCTACAAAACCGAAGTGAACCTATTCGTCTTAGGTCAGAGACTCGGCATGCTATCACAGAAAGAATTTCACGTAAGCATACTTTAGACCAAACTGTGTTCGATTCGGCTCAAGCAGAAGTTGAACACTTTCTACGAACAACAGCATATCCTGCTTTCCTTAAGTCTGATATTTATGTCGACTTCCTACAAACAGCTCTGGAAGGTTCTATTCGTAAGTTTCCTACGTGGGAACAAACGGTCTCTACCTCGTTATTCCCGTGTACTGGTGACAAACAGTTAAGTACAGCTACTAACCTCCCAGAATGCCCGTCAAACATGGCATTAGGAGGGAAAGTTCTTCCAACTTTAGATGAAGATCGTGAGTTGCAGTCCGAAGAACTATCACTATTGCACCCTTCAAGACAGGCTTGCAGACCTGCTTGTTGTCAAATACTTTCATTACCTGATACAGCTGCTGTTACACCTGATCATGGTCATTGTCAACACTGTAAGAAATGTCAGTTATATAATCCGTGTTTACCACTGGATTATTCTCAACCTATCCTAAGACCACCATCGTGTTATCAACAATCGCCAGTTGTGCCTACTAGTTCGGCAGCACCTCTAACTATGGAGAATTTGCAAATGACTCGATTTTATCGTACAGAATTATCGCTACAACGTTCTTATTTTAATCCATCTCAAAATCCCTATGTTACGAGACCTAATCAAGAAGGTGAACCTGTTGGACATGCACATGTATCACGTGCTTGCAGTTCAACTCCATGGCGTTTTCACAATCGTCCCAACTACGCTTACACTCACTGGGCAGATGCGATGTGGTAAGTAATTTATTTGCTTGCGTATTTGTAGCGTTTTATCACTTACTACAATTTATAAATAATTAGTAGCTCAATTTAGACGATTACATCACCTTAAATTTATGCGAACTTTTTTGAGAAATTGAAGTCTATTTATCGTCGCAACTATATATGTTTTTAGCTTTTTGATGTTTGCACTCTATACAACAAGACTTCTGGTACATTTTTGCACACATTTTCTAACCGTTTTAGTCTACTAGTGTGCACAAACTCATCGTGTAATGTTCTTTTTCACTCAGACCCCCCACACAGTAAAGCGGTGATTTTCTAGGTTTAATTACCTCACTGTCAATCCTAGGGTCATAAGTCCGGAATTTACACGTGTTTAGAGAAAATTTGTGATATAATAGATATATGTTGTAAACAATTTTAAGAACATAGTCAGAACAATTTGATTCACTCGTTTGCGTATTCGGACAGCAGGTTCATTGACATCGATTTCTCAATGAAATTATATGGTTAGGTACAAGTTTGTGTGCACAGTGCAGTGATACTATTTAGCTAAGCAGATTGAAGTAAATCGACTGAATTCGGACCCACTACCCAGTCGTAAGGAGTTAAATGTTTCAACCTTTAACACACTTCTTGGTCTTTCACATTGTAACTGCTTATTATCTCGTCAATAAATTGTATGCACCCAAATACCCTGGTACGGCCGAGAGTGGGAAGAGTTTGCCCTCCCTCTCGAAATGTTCTCACTTGACCCAACTCACTGCCTTCTCGAGGCGAAGGTGTTGTCTACGAAATTGAGAGGGCGAGAAGCGAACGTTGTGCGCTTTAATCGGGTTGGTGGATACGGAGGGTTTACCTAAGAGAGTTGGAAAACTCTGATTCCAAACCAATGGTGAATATGGGCTCCAGTATCCTGAAGGAACATTGTTCCACTCCTTTGTGGATTAGAACTTCCGGCCAAAGGCTTGGGTTGTGGCCCCCTAAGAAAAGCAGCTACTTTGATCTGGGCATTCGGGCAGTATCCCAGCCCTCACACAAATCGAGTGACGAAGTGTGGCGCATATATATTTGATGCCTCCTTGTACCAATGTTTATGTTTAAATAAATAATAATAATAAATTGTATAACATGTCAAAATATTATTGTTTGTGCATAAAATCTATAACCAATCGTTATGTTGTCCCTGAATTCTATCTTAATCTATAGTGTAAAGATTGGGCTTTTACTAATTTAACCGACTCAGTTATGCAGTGTGGAATTACTGTAATTGTAAAGCTTGCAATAATGTATTTCATAATTAATGTAATTCACTTACCGAGTAGACGTTTTGTGTGCTATACTGTTTACATGAAGGCTGATAATGTTATCCGGTTGTCCAACTGAAGTAGGCTTTTAATAAATATATTTTTCTTTATATCCCATTGAGTAGAAAAATTGTATTTCTGACGTTTCGTGACTTAATATAAGCCACTTCTTCAAACATATGACCTATTAGTTGGAAACATAGTATTAACCACTGTCACCACATCCCATAACTAATCAATGAATTAGTCACACTTTGTCTGGAATTGTGCTACCTTAACAATTTGTTAACTGATATAATATTGGACCGGGCACTTATCTCTAAGTGGCCTATAATTCAGAATTCACCTGTTTGATCTTGTATGGAACAGTGGCTTATTGGTGAGAGTATTTAACTTTCAAGCACTAACTTTAAAGTTTGAATCCCGCTTCGTCTACTTGGATTTGAACAGTCGGATGGTATTACTAACTTTATACACATAAAACGTGGACCCAGTACACGAATCTATGCTTAGTAATTGAATTATGGTATATACATTGCTTCAATTTGTAACATTTCGCAATAGTGTTCTTAGATCAGAGAAAATTTATCATTTCATAGTTTGATAATGAAGATAAATCAAAATAAAAAGGGTTATTCTTATGATACGGTAATTCAAATTTAAATTGTCGTTGGTTTATTTGTTTATTCTTTAATTTTGTTTTTGTTTCTAGTCCACCTTCTATGGATCCACGTTTAGGGAATTTGCCCAGTCAACCGCCTAATCCATATCATATCTCCTATGCACCAGTTTCAGCACGTGACTCAGAACATCATAGTCTTTCAAGTGACGCACGAACTGATGATACTCATTCACATACGGATAGTAGCCAGTAAGTTTGAAAATTTGATATAATATATTTTGTTATTATTATAATTATGATAAGTTTTGTTTTCATGTAAAAAGGAATAGTCTCAGTATAGGGTCTGAGTTAAGGGGAGTTGATTTTTACAGACAAAATATATCTTTAAACTCTGTTTAGCTTACATCATTTTGAAGTAGCTGAATTACTTCACACTAAACTTAAACAATATAGTTCAAAGTTTAGTAAATAAATCTATTTGCGAGGCACGTTATTCATATTTAATGGAAAGACTATCTAACTAATACTAAGGTCTCATGAAAAGGCTTGATTGCAGCTTAATAGAAACTGTCGTTTATCATACCTTTTCGTAATTTAATGTACACCAAATCAGTGAAATAATACAGTTATTAATGTAATTGACTTAGCAGTTATTTAACTGCTTCGGTTTGGGCACCCGGTCAGTATCACAGCCCTCACACATATCAAATTAGATTTGTGTGGCGCATATGTATTTGATGCCTCCTTGTACCAATATCTATGTGTTAAAATAAAAATAATAATAAATAAGCAGTTATTTACTCGTGTTTTAAACTATAATCTGTATATATATTATGTTATTGATCAAGCTGGAAGCACTGGACAGTGTTAATATCTAACACCGTTGGATGCCGGCTCAGTGGTCTAGAGGTTAAGCGTTCTCGCGCGAGACCGATAGGTCCTGGGCTCGAATCTCTCGGGGCGGGATCGTGGATGCACACTGTTGAGGAATCCCACACTAGAACAGAACGGCTGTCCAGTGCTTCCAGGTTTTCCATGGTGGTCTAGCTTTAATTAAACCATTAATTCAACTATTAAGTGACTAAAATCTCCGCAAAACCCCCTTCTGATAGATTTCTGTTTGTCAATATGAAATTGTTTCAAACCAATCTATTGTATGCCTTATATCGTTCTAAAAGACTGAGGTGATTGAGACACGTATTACGTGTATGAAACAGTCGTTTACTTTGATGCGCGATACTTACTGGTATGTGACTGAAACGGAATAAAGCTAGGAGCGACTAAAAAGGATGTGGCATTAAACTGTGAAGTCATTGAGAGTTGGGCCTATTTGTACTGGTGTGCTCAAACCATCTGGTTGTGGTTCATGCGATTATGGTGACCAGTATTTGTAAACGTTGAGTCTTTCTCCTATATTGCAGTCTCTCTCCGATATATTACCACGTTTGACCTAACCACTCCTATGAATCCGGTGTTCATCTTGCTGTGCTAATGAGGTATGGCAACCTGGACAGATACACATATGTGCCTGGTCTTACGTTGTAGCTGACTGACTGACTGAGACGTTGAGTGACATGATTCAAAATCGGTCACAATGGAACAGATACGTTTACTTTTTTGTCTTACCTTAAATTTTAGAACTCTATTAGATTTTTTTATTCCATTAGTCCAATCATATTGTCTATGCGTAATATTTTATAATACCACTGTTACTGTTACTTCTACTGCTCTGGGATTTGTATTGATAATTTCTTCTTACTGTGCTCATATAGAGTAGCAACATGAACTGATGCACTTATGTTCCATTGTCTATATCTGGCTTACTAACTGAATCAATGAATATAATCTTATTTATATTAGTGAAGTAGACCATCTTGGATTAATTCACTATCTCAGCAATTTTTGATAAAAAGCAATAAAGATACTAACAGATCTATATAATAAGGTTTCACCTTGTTTTTTTTTTCAAGGTATTCCCTGTGACTCACTTTGTTGAGTGTATAGAATGTTCATTATATGCTTACATAACTACTACATTGCATATGGCTTATTGACTGATAACTACATATACACATTAGAGGTGATAAAACGAGCACACACACTACATTTCATTTCACAACGTACTACATGTACACATACTTCTATTCTTTCTGTTATCAACTTACACATACAATATTGTCGGATCAAGATGTAAGATCAAAGGTAGTCCCGCTTTTATGAATGTAAATAATATAGAAATAGCAATCACATGTTCGAGAAATTGATCGTTTGTAATGGAATGTTACTTTATGGTGTGTGCATATTCATTAAAGCGAGAGAAAGAGATTGCAAGCAAGCAAACCAGAGAAACCAAAATACTTCTACTGATCGAATTAACAACATGACTATGGTGACGGTCATAATGTTAATCATAATAATGATGGTAGATAATAATTGGACTTGGATACGAATATATATATATACCGTGCGTTCAAGCCAGCAGGATAAATGTGATTATTGGTTGGAGACTTTGGGTAATATGAATCGGAATAGCTCACACTGATGCAAATGAATTTAGTCGTTATATTCTTGTGGAACTTGAGTTCCAGTATTATTCCATACATACCTTTCCACTTCGTCTTTTTTAACTTTACTTTCAATGCTTAATCTTCCTCGTTGTGACGTTATTTCAATCTCTTTTAGCTATCCATCTTGTTAGACCACCATTGAAAACCTGGAAGCACCAGACAACTGTTTCGCACTCTGAGGAGTCCCATACTAGGATGAAACGAGTGTCTAATACTTTCAGGTTTTCAATAATGGTCTAATTTTGATTGGTTCATGATCTCAATGTAATCAACATCGTCTACGCGGATACTTATCTGAAAGGTTCCCACGTATTTAATGTTCTATTTCTTACTTTCTTTTTTGAGATTCAGTATATTATCTGGATTGTCTATACTAAGATAAGCTTCCCAATGTTCCTGTCAATTTATTTTATTTTTCAAAAAATTATATCTTCTAGCGACGGTGCTTGCAATCGTTTACGTGCTCTTAATCATCGTTATCCAAGCCCGTTCCAATCATCACGTTCTCATAATAACAATAATAATAGTAATAATAGTAAACGTCAAAATCAACTCTCCCATCATCATCACCATCATCAACGTCATCTATCTACCGGTCCACAAGGGAATAGTAGTGGTGTTGGTGAATTAATGGTGCAGTGTACTTCTCCTAAATCATCATCATTTCCAACTTCTTTTCAAAGTCGTTTACAACAATCTAATCCATTTTGTCGAAGTCCGATTGGGATTGGTGGTGCTGGTGGTGATAGTCGTATCAATTATCCTTTGGAGACTTTTTCAATCAATACAAGTTGTCCAATAAGTACAGCTCCTATTACTACTAGTAATAATGGAAATAATCAAGGGATTGGAGAGAAAATTACTCAACACTCAACAACAGATCCAATTATTAATAATAAATCACAACAGCAAAAACATCAACGTCGTCTAGCTAGACGTGGTGTCAGTTCTCGTCCTTTCAGTGATAAAACAAAACTCCATAATAATAACAATTATTGTACCGTTGGTAGTGCTGCTGCTGGAAATCCCACCGGATTGAATGTTCCAATTAAACCAAGTAATAAATCATCAACCAGTCGATCATATAGCATGGCTGAACATGATCCAAAAGCTTTTGCACAAATTTTATCAGAGAAACTACAACGTTTATTAAATAGTCAATTAGTTACAGAACGTCTTGATAATCTTATGATTGAAGTAGGTTAATACATGTTATCGTTTAAAATATCTGTGGAATTCATTAAAAATTACTTCCCATTTTTATCGTAGTTGCTTTTTTTCTTCGTTTTAATTCTGAAGTATTTGATAGTAGAACAGTGGTTGATTAGTTATTGAGCCACATTCAATGCTTCGATATGAACTCTTGTCTATCTATTTCGGTTTAAACAATCGGATTGGTATCTTTAACCTCGTGATGTTTAAGGTTTAACATGAAATCAAATCTCTTACCTAATGAATGACAGTTTCATGTTATTACAAAATAATACTGATATTATTATGGTTAAACCTGATAGAGGATTAAGTGTTATTGTTATAAATTAAGTTCAATTACAATGAAATTCATTTTCCACGAACAAAATACAGTTTGTTCATAATTGATTTAGATGTAAATTGAAATCTTTAACTCTGATTATGAAATTAATCTTCTTACATTTATTCATTATCTTGTTTTAATGAAGGAAGAAAATAATTATACTACTAATTGATGATGTGTTATGTAGGGAGCGATATAGTGTCTGGTTTATTCCCTTAGTACGAATTGTATTCTGTTGGCCAAATTAGAATACGCCGAGAATAAATGATAGTTTAACCTCAAAGGGGAAATGTATATTTATTATTATTATTATTTCAACACATAGATATTGGTACAAAGAGGCACCAAATACATATGCGCCACACAGATCTCATTCGATATGTGTGAGGGCTGTGATACTGCCCAGGTGCCCAAACCGAAGCAGGTGATTTTCTTAGGGGGCCACACCCCGAGCCTTCGACCTGAGGGTCTGATCCACAAGGCAGTGGAGCATCGTAAGGAAATGCAGTCCCATGGTAGCCGGTGATCAACAATTGGTTCATTCGCCATTTGTTCCCGCAGGATACTGGAGCCCATGTGCACCGTTGGTTTGGAATCCGGTTAAAGCGCCGGACATTCGCTTTTCGTCCTCTCATTTTCGTGAACAACACCCCCGCCACGAGAAGGCAGTGAGTAGAACTTCCCTGTCAGAGGCTATATACGCGTGGCCATGTGAGAGCATTTAGAGAGGAAGAGCGTACTCTCCCCACTCTCGGCCGTACCAGGGCATTTGGGGGCAAATGTATATATTGATAGTAATTCGAATGATTTTGAATACCTATTAAGTAAGGTCAAGGATCAATGGTAATAGCTAATGATTCAGAAGTCAAGATTCATTCAATTTTGTTGGAGTTTCGTTTTTTTTCTTTTTTGAGCTGGATGGTTTGGTCGTGGAGCCTTCATTGTTCTTCTGAACATCATCAGCAACAGCAAAAAACTCCAAGTAGAAGTGAAGTATTAAAATTTCTTCCCATATGACTCATAGCTTGTCCTATCAACCTTAATCTTCATGTGTTTTTATTGACCTTTAATTCGTCATTGTCTACTTCTTTATTTTGATTGTATTTTCCTTCTTAGTCCTAGATTTGTCCATAATTTTTCTGATTGCATCAACTTCGATATTTTTTATTGATTGCTGATTGATTTGAGTCCCAAGCTTCTAAAATTTTTCTAGTGTTCTTAGTATTCCCTTCATCAAAAATCATAACATTTTCCCAGTTTAATGTTCGTTTACAGTTGTCCACATGCATTGATATAAGTGAATATATATCATGGCATTTGATCATGTAGGCAAAGATGAAGATGGCGTCTGCTATTATAACAGTTTATTTTGTAGATGATTTTCGGTTCTACTTATTTCGTCATTTCGTCTTTTCGTTTTCATATGATTGATTGAAGTGATTTTGATTTTTTATGTGCTACATCTATTTCAAATGGCTTCAATAATCTTATTGTCTTTTATATATGGTAGGACGATCCGTTTGCTGATTTCGTTTCTGTTGATGAGTTGGGTTGATATTTTTTGATGAAGTTGCATGGGTAGCGGTTCTTTTGAAAGATAGTCATTGGATATTTTTCTTCATTTTTCGGCGCTCCAGGTGTGCTGTAATGTCTTCTTACTTTTTATCGCTACTTTAGTTGAGAATTTAGTGTTTGTGGGTTGGCTTTCGATATACTTCAGTCTCCAGTCTTTTTTATGTCGGTTTTGGTGATCAGTAGGATGATAGCTTGCTGTTCGACTCTTCGATTGTGAATTTTATGTAACCGAAAATGTTGTTGATTGAATTGCAGGTTTTTTCCAGGTCGTCCTTTTTGATGATGACGAATATTTCGTCCGCATAACGAATCTACATTTTTGACTTGATCACTGGTAAAATCGAGGCTTCCAGTCTCTGCATTACTGCTTCCTCACTGGTGTTCCTTTCGTTTGTTCGTAGATTTGATTGTTGGATTGAAAACATATTAGGCACAAACTGATGAGTTCTAGTGAACTTTGCCTTTGTGTACCTTTTGAGATTTATGTCGTTCATGAAAAGTAGGGATAACGTTTCGTTTGTTAAGTTTAGTTCGACTGAAGTGAATAAGACCGTCATGTTGAAGAATATCATCAGTTCTTCGTTATTGATTTGAATCTCCTTTCTCTTATCCAAGAATTGTATGGGAGATTTATTGAAGTTATTGAATGAATCCATCAAATGTTTCATTATTCTTGAAATTTCTCTCGATAGATTGCATGTTGGCCTTTCCGTAGAGTAGTACAATCGGACATAGTGGGATGTTTGGTTTGTTTAGTTTCAGCCTACCGTAGAATCTAGGAAGCACTGGTCCACTGGATTTCATTTGACATTGGTCTTCTTTTGATGTTTTACCTTCTTTGACAAGCTTGTTTGTTTGTCTAGTCTTTTGATTAGATTTGTGTTCATTGATTCATTTTCACTTTTATCTTCAAATAGTTTCTCAGTTTTCATGATATATTCTTCTTTGTCCATAATGACTATAGTGCATCTTTTGTCCTCTGGAACTTTAACAATATCTTTTTTTTAATTTTGAGTTTCTTTAAACCTTCTCGTTCTTATGCAGTCAGTTAAGTGTTGTCGAGTTAACGGTACTATGGTTTGCCTTATTTACTGTTGAATTTCTTCATTTATTCTAGAAGTTTTGAGTGATAACTCTAATCTTCATTTATATTATGTCATATAGACAATTATGGATACATATCTGACTGGTTTATTGATTATGAAAGTACCAATTTTGAATTTGTTTCAATGACATAGTGTTTCTGTATATATTTTCTCTTTAAATGAATAGACTAGTCCAAACATTCAAGAAAGTCAAGAACAAGTGAATGAAACTACCAATTTAACGATTACAGATTATAATAATAACAAGTCTCATAATGATGAACCATCTATTATTAGTAATACTTCAACTGTTATTACATTCACAACAACTAATTGTCCTATTGTTACAAATACTACTAATATTATTGAAACTATTACTACTACTACTACTACTAATTTAACAAGTACTCAATCAAATTTCATTCATAATAAAATTACATCATCTATTACTAATCGATTAGTGAGTGATAGTACATCAACTGTTACTGTTGTTACTACTCCTTCAGTACTTCAACGTCCATGGGCTGATAAGTTATTAGCTGCTGCTCGTGTTCAACATGAAAATACACGTGAAAATGCTCAGGTTAGTTAGTAATAGATTGTAGAAAATTTTGTTTTTTTTTTCTGCTTTTTGTTATTGTCAATTTTAAATTAATTTAATGTATTTTGATGGACTTTTGTTCTCTGAGCTAGATGGTTTTGGTCGAAAAAAACCATCTAGCTCAGAGAACAAAAATCCATAAAAATCATCCACCTGAGCTACAAATCTTCTCCATCATCTCAAAATCATATGAGCGTAATACGCTTCTCGTTGTTCGAAAATGGGAGAATTTCGCCAAAAGGCAGGCTTCCACTCGAGAACAACTATATTTTCTCCATGAGTGTCTTCACACAACCAAACCATCCAGCTCAGAGAACAAAAATCCATCAAAATCATCCACCTGACCTACAAATCTTCTCCATCATCTTAAGTTAATGTATTGATGAATGATAGCCTAACCTAAGAATAATGATCAAATCAGATTATGTCATTAGTTGACAAATTCACTGATGATAATCGTTTAAAGTTGTAAAGATTCTGTTGAGAAGATCTAGAAAATTCCTTGAAAAATAAACCAAAATAAGGATCTGAAAACGCTGAGAAACATCTTATCTAATCAACAATAGAAGCTTTGTCAGAAACGTCTAGAAAGTGAAAAGTTACATGTCATATTTCTCATTGGATTATTATCCATACTACTAGTATGTTTAGTAGCGTTTCAGGATTTTCCGGAAACCCATCGCCATCTAAAATATTATAAATGCCCTGGATTTTCTATATATAAATGAATCTTGGAGTAAAGTGTTTCTTCCATATTTCGCTACTTTTCTCTTGCATTCAGATTGCTGTGCAGATTTAGCCTGGGGTTTACTAGAAGAGCTTAGGAAACCGAATATAGCGTTCAATTAGGTTTATCAGTTTTCTCATAATTTTCGAAGTCTATCTGTGGTTGAGATCGATGTGGTGACAACAATCCATGGTGATTTGAGATGTTGAGTGACATAACTCAGAATTGGTCATAGTGACGGGAATGCATTCACTGTTTATCTTTCTCTCAATTTTAAATTCCAGTAGTCATTCATATGTGCCATTTTCATTGCTTATTCTCTAACCACATTCTTAATCTTTAGTGTTTCTTACTATCACTACTCCTATTGCTGTTGTTTGAATTTCTTAGCTATTCATCTTTTTAACTCTATCTCATCTTGCTAATGTGATACACAATAACTTGGACTAATGCACATTTGTATGACAGGGTTTATGTTGATCGTAACTGATTGATAATGCATAGCTAGATTATTTTTCATTGTCAGAAGGGGGTTTTGTAGAGATTTTAGTAATTTCAAGTATTGAGATCATGAGTCAATTGAAGCTAGACCACCATGGAAAACATGGAAGCACTGGATTACAGTTTCGTCCTATTGATTAATTATCAACTACTATAGTAGTTGAATTTTTCCCCCTTTCTCTCTACCTCTTTCCAGTCTAAGAAACAAATGATTCTTATTAACTATTCGTTCCAGTTAGCCATATACAACGTAGAACCTGACGCATCTGCGCATTGGTTCAAAATAATGTACCGCCTTATTACACCGAGATCATGTTATTTCAGAACAAATTATTATAAGTAATAACAATATTGATAGCAATCATATTAAAAAATAATAATTTCAAAAGATTAAATGTAGAAAAAGAAGAAAAACAACTAAGTATAAGGAGATTTCAAGACTCATAATTGTAAACAAAGACAAGAAGTGATGAATACACTTGCATCATTACCGAATAATTCTGAACCATATCACTCAAATTCTCCAATCATTGGTTATGATAGTCATATGGACCTCAACCAAGTAAGTAGTCTACACTGATTAAGACAGTTCAATCCAATTGTCAATGAATTGATATGACATCTTAGTGTTTGGCCATTGCGCTCCTCTACATCAAACATCATCCATCGTGTTAAACGGTGCTTGAGTTCGGGTATACATCATAACACATGTTCGTTTATATTTATCAATTAGGTTGTGAAAAAATTCATTCTTATTTCGGTTTATCTCTTTAGAGAATTTCAATTCAAGAAGATGTATTTTGTAAGTTTTTGTTTTCTTTCAAAATAAAAAAAATATAGTTTTTAAGGGTAAACTATAAACATATGTATGTTTTCTGATGGAATTCTATTTACTTCTATATGTTAAGAGTATATTGATAGAAGAAGCATAGAAAAACCACCATATTAGTTTTAAGGATGAGAGAAAATCTTTTTATGTTGAACTTGATAATAATTATAATCAGAGGATGATTGAGATAGGTCCTAGGTTCGAATCCCGCGAGGCGAGGTCGTGGATGCGCACTGCTGAGGAGTCCCGCAATAGGACGAAATAGCCGTCCAGTGCTTTCAGACTTTTCATGGTGATCTAGCTTCAATTCACTCATGATCTCAACCATTGAAATTAATAATAATTCTCATGGTTTTACGATATGACGAGAAAAGGAAACAGATATGCTTAACTTATATTAGGGTCTGTGTAATCGGACTTTCACTACAAGACAACTAGTTATATAATCTAGTTCAATTATCAATTAACCTGCATAAATTGTCTCATATAGTACCAATGAAATGATGAATGTGAGTAAACAGTCAAGAAGAATATTCAACGATTATTGTTTCAGAATATGATCCTTTCATGTTTCATCACCATTGAGATTGTTATGCTTCATCATTTTATTATAATTTATTTCAACCAGTTATTATATACAAATATTTATTTGGTATAGTTTACATTCATATCTGTTTGATAAAAGACATCTTATGTAATTTAATGAATGTAAATATGCTAACTATTCCTTTCAAAATGTTCTGTATGTTGTTTGAAAGTAAATCAACTAACTACATAAATGATTTATCTCATTAACACGAGTTAATGTTTACAAACTTAAAGATTAAATGAAGTAATACTGAGCTATTTTGTCGAAATATCGATTAGGTTTTAGTTATATATAAAAAACAACATCCAGACACTGATAAAGTAAAGCATATCTAATGTTGTTATAGTATTAGTGGTGATTGTTCACCAGAAATAAATTAACAATCATATACTTAACAGTGACTGATTTCCAGAAGTAATTGATTAAATTCTAATAACTGATCGTAATCAGTGATCTTTAACCATATCAGATATGAAACAATTATCTGTCAATGGGAATGGATAATGATAATGTAATATTGTGAATTGATTGAAATTATAAATTATTTATTATTTCAACTCATAGATATTGGTACAAAGAGGCACCAAATACATATGCGCCACACAAATCTCATTCGATATGTGTAAGGGCTGTGATACTGCCCAGGTGCCCAAACCGAAGTAGGTGATTTTCTTAGGAGAACACACCCCGAGCCTTCGACCTGAGGGTCTGACCCACAAGGCAGTGGAGCATCGTAAGGAGATGCAGTCCCATGGTAGCCGGTGACCAACAATTGGTTCATTCGCCATTTGTTCCCGCAGGATATTGGAGCCCATGTGCACCATTGGTTTGGAATCCGGTTAAAGCGCGGGACATTCGCTTTTCGTCCTCTCATTTTCATAAACAACACCGCCGCCACGAGAAGGCATTGAGTAGGACTTCCCTGTCAGAGGCTATATACATTACAATTTACTTTGTATAAATGTAGCTTTTTAAGGTTCGATTATCTTCTACGCTCTTTAGTGTTAAGTAAAAGATTCTTGCAAGTTGTTATATCTTTTTACACCATTAACTATGCTACTATTGTATTTTTCCACACAATCGATAAACCATGGAAATTCTTATTTTCCCAAGTTTCTAATTAGGATAATAAAAGAATGCCAACTACTTATTATTATCATCCTAGTTTACGAGTCACCTGATAACAAAAATAACAGTAATTATAGCTCACAATACTTAGCGAAATTAAATTACACAATGACAGGAGAGAGTGAGAGATAGACAGCTCGAATATCATTTGTTATGACGGTGGATAAGAGTTGTAGCTCAGATGGATGATTTTGATAGAGTTTTGTTCTCTGAGCTGGATGGTTTGGTCGTCCTGTACAGGACAAGCTGTGAACCACATATAGAGAAATTCGAACCCTTCACTTCTATCTGAAGTTTGTGCTTATGATTTTGTTCAAAAGAACGATGAAAGCTCCACGACTAAACCATCCACCTCAGAGAACAAAACTCTATCGAAATCATTTGTTAAATATAAACTAGGAGAAACATTATATCAGTCATAAATGACTAGTCTCTTCATCCTTAAAATTTTGGTAGTTCAAAGAAGAGAAATCCATTCCTTTGAATTGTACTGAAGATTATATTTTATTAGTGTTATCACTTAAAGATATAACTATTTGCATATTCCAAATCTATACGAAAATTTTGAGGTAAAAGATCATTTTCTAAATAGTTCAAATGAAGCATGTCAATTTTATAATTCAGTTAGGAATTTTAAAAATGAAAAACACTATTACTTCATCGTAATTTCACAATCTAATGAATTATATTAGAGAGTAGAAGATATAGACTCTCATTATCTTCATGTACACTTTTCAATGATGAACAGTTTGTTAAAATGACAGATTAACTGATATAGTCACTAGAAACGATTGTCTGTTTAAACTTTTAGTTCAAACATTCATCATATGTGTATATGTTCCTATAAGTTTCCCCGTTTTACAATTGTTTTTATTTGATTAGTCCGGCCTAGCAACTACACATCCGTACATATCACAAATATTTTTTTTCTTGTGAAACTCAAGAATTGCCATTACGTTGGTTCGTATATTTTCCACTTCCTCCTTTGTTAATTCGAGAAACGAGCAGTAATTACTATAGAATTCTTACATGAAGTTTACCTGGCGATGTAAAGCGTTGTCATGAGAGTTGCAGTCGACCAATTACAAATCGCTGAAATGATAGATCCACATAATTGGCCAAGAACTGGTTTTATTTTGCAATTGATAGAGCATAATCCACCGAAAGGTTTAATTTCCTATGGGACAGATATACATATATAAACTTGTGTATATGAATATTTCTTGATTCGGTTAGCCAATTAACTTCCGTGCTCACTCTCACTTCCTTAGTGACTTCAAGGACTAATACCACGTTTTGGTTTGGCCGCCTCTAACTTTCTTCCAACCATCCCCAACACCGATTAGCATTGCACGTCGTGGTAATCGGTGTTCAGGCATACGTAACACATGGTCCAACTATCTCAGTCAATGAAGATCCACAACCTCATCAACTGATTTACCATCATTCCCTAATACCCCTGTGTCTGACTTCACTATTACTTACCCGGTGATCCCAGCAAATGCAAGCAATATTTCTAAGACATGTATGATCAAATAGTAGTGGTTAACTAATATCTTATACTCTTAATGGTCATGTTTCTCAGCCGTAAAGTAGAACAAAACGAACTGCTGTGCAGTATACTCGTTCTTTTTATTGATAGACGGATATCTCGCGTTCGCCATAGGTGACGTAAGTTGACAAAAGCCAAACAAGGTTTTTGAATCCGTGCAGAGATTTTGTCAGATACCAACCTATTAGGGCTGATCAGACTTCCAAGATAAGTGAAGTTGTCGATACGTTCGACTAATTCACTCCCTATCCTTAGTTCAGTTGTTGACACAGACCAGTCCTGAAGCAGCAGCTTACATTTAGAGGGGAGAAACTCATCTCAAACATTCTGGCATTGTTACTCAGTGTTACCAAAACACTGCATTTTATCAGCGTTTTCACCAAACAAGACTATGTCATCTGCTTTTATATGCTTATAAAATAGAAATCTTATTGATATATTACTTATTTTGTACTGAGACTTCTTTACTGTTATCAATCGTATGGTATGGAATAATAATATAACAGAAATGGTAAAATATTCAAGAAATTTTTCACTTGTAAAATTTTAAAAAAAAACATTCCATACCTTAAAAGAGTATCAAGTGATTAAATTGTATTTCTGGGTGGTTTTATCCAATTAGTGAGAGTGAGGGAGAAAGAGATATGCCAAATATAGTTAATTCACAGGTAGTTAACACAATTCTGCTCAGTAAATAAATCACATAAATAACAATAAGTTAATGTATGCATGAAAGTTAAAGAGAGATTTGTCCTGGATAATAAAAGATTTGTATGCAAAAATGGATAGTGACTGGCAGTGGAATCCAGGATGTGTGTTTCGTTGTATTTGGGATTCGTCAGCTGGATGTACCTGCATTTCAGAGCTGATGTTCATTCTGGGACTCGAACCGAGTACTGTTCGCTTCAAGCATCATCGCGTTATCCACTTAGCTACTGAGTCCTGTTAGTCACTTGCTTGTGCAATGTAGTGAATTTTAAATTCAGTTGTTATTGCTTACTTAAATCTTTCTATTGATTTTTGGGACTGTAATTGATCAGTCTCATATTGGCATATGTGCATCCTGTGCATATTGCCTCGATATATACTGAGTTCAAGTCCCATAGTGAACATCAACTCTGAAATGCAAGTACATCCAGCTGACGAATCCCAAATAGTACGAAGTGGCGCGCGTTCTGGATTCCATTGCTAGCCACTATCCATCTTTGCATATAAAGCTTATATATTGAGGTTATATCGAGGCAATGCTCATAGGATGCATATATGCCAATAAGAGACTGATCAATTACAGTCCTAAACATCAATGGGAAGATTCAAACCAACAATACCAAGTGAATAAAAGATTTGTATTTGTATTGATTCACATGACCATTTTAAAAGTACATTACAATTAAGTATACAAAATTATAATTATGATTATCATCTCTTTTTTGAATTCATTTATTTATATCTTTCAATTGGGTTTTAATTAAAATCTATGGTGATTGATAATTCTTCAACGAACAAGCTTATTGTTGATTTTACTGAGAAACTCGATAAAATACCAACTAACATATAACAATTCAGTGTTAATATGAATAGTTATCTTTATGGAAAAGGACTAACAAGTAGTGAAAGTTAAACAACTTCAGGTTTCCTTTGATCAAGAGTTTCCAAGAATTTAATAGTTTAGTCTTTCAACGCCTATACAAAAAAATTTCAAGAGTTTTCTACAGTGCTGTAGAAAAAAAAATTTAAATGAACTGTGTCATATGTAATTACTGATCCCCTTTTTTTCCCACCGAATTTAGCATGTTTCTAGAGTCTCCTACAACATCAGGGCTACGTATTCTTCCATAAAATATCTTAGTTTTCTGTGTTTAAACTAATTTTGAAAGTAAAATTTCTTGTCTTACTTCTCGGTTTTTTTTGTTTTCTCTTTAAAGTTCTACTATAAGAAATCCTCTTGATAACTAGAAATTAGTTAGAAGTTAGTGTCAATTGAATCAACTATCAAATGTATAATACATAATCAAATAAAATATAACTACTTCACTTACTCATTTAAAGATACCTGAAAATTTTTTACATTGTTTGTTTGTTTTTTATAATAAAGTAGTTAGTAACTGTTCTATTCAATGTGCTAATATCAAAATAAGGGTTTATTCTTTTAAGAAAAGACTAATTGCTTTAAATTATATTTATAAAGAACAAAACATATAAAGATTGATACATCTGAAGAATATTTTCATCAAAAGTTGCTTCTATCTGTAGAAATCTCAAATAAACAAAGTTTTATACTGTCTTTAAAGAGAGATAATTTATTTGAACATATAAATATCGGTACAAAGGGGTACCACACAAGTCAATTGATTTATTTATGAGCTATGATATTGCCCGGGTTCTTAAACTGAAACAATTGTTTTTCTTATGAGGCCACACTCATAGCCTTCGACCTAATGATCTAACCCATAAGGCAGTGGAACATTGTTTGGAGATGAAGTCACATGATAGCCAATTACCAACAATTGGTTCATACACCATTTGTTCCCTAGGTTTCCTGGAGACCATTCACTTTTTGTCCTCTCAATTTCGTAAACAAAGGCAGTAAGTAGGACTTCCCTGATAGTGACTGTATACGTTTGGGCATGTGACAGTATTTCAAGAGAAAGTTGACTCTCCACCTTCGGCCGTTCCAGGACGCATTGTCATTGTTATTTTTCAAAGTCAACTTATATCTTTACCAAATCACTTAAACAAATCTAAATTCTTTTGTTTTATTTTATTATTATGTCAGGATTTGAAGTGTAACAACTATAATCACCGAAACACGTATTTATGTCATAATCTTCTATATTATGATAATCAATGTCAATATATTGTAAGACAGATTATGTATTCATTTGATCTATTTGTTTACATTTTAAATAGGAAAGTTTTTTTGTTTATTTTTCTCTCTATTGTGTACTCATATTGATTTCATCGTTGTTCTGTCAACTTCAACTCCGCCTGGAGTCCCTCCGGGAGCTACTGCCGGTCAAATTCAACAAAGATCCATAATTGATCATTTTCTATTATAAAAAAGTATTTATGAATTTATAAATCAACATTTTTTTTATTACTATGGTGATAATTGTTTATTTTTCTTCTGAATATAATTTTAGGCTATTCTTGAAGATCATTGTTCAAGAATATGGGCTGCATCAGCTGATCGTACTCCAAGTAGTGGAGGAGGAGGAGGAGGAGGGAGTGGCGATGGAAGTAGAGAAGGTGGTCATCTTCGTGATGTTGATGATGATGGTGATAACAACGTTATTAATGATATTGATCATAGTAGAATTGGTATAGATCTTAGTATACATTCAACTAGGCCTCATGATACTACAACATTAGATGATAACTCATCTCAACGAAATATTTCATTAGATATAAGTGAACATTCATTTATATCTCCAATTATCAATAATTATGATCATGAATCATATTGTCCATCTACTTCTTTAAATTATAATAGACCATATATTAGTGGTAATAATGTTATCAGTGATGTCAATTGGTTACATTCAACTAATAATGATATAACAAAATCACAACAAACACATAATCATAAATCATCTTCTTATTCTATAGTTGAAAATAATCAAATTATAAATAATTGGATTAATGATGAAAATACACAATTTATGCCTAATAATAATTCTATTAATTCATATAATAAATCTTCCAGGTAAGTAAGTAGTATACACATTTTTATGAATCATTTAAAGATCTTCTTCATCATCTTTAAAAGACTAATTTATAGATGAAGAATAAATTCTCTTCAGATTCTACAATTCAATATATCCATATTAATAATCTTAAATGATGGTCAAATTGATGGCAAATTACATCGTTTAGAAGTTAAAGTATGTAATGAACTGTAGGATTGTCAAAGAAAATACAATAAAATTGTTGCTGGTCGACAAGAGAAAGCCAATGCAAAATTGGCTGCGTAGAATGTCATGGTGATTAATTTCGTTAACTTATATTTTAGAATATCACTGGCCACATCACCGTTGAATTGTAGTTTCATGTATAAAGGTTTCTTACGAACAGTCGAAATCTCCAACTTCTTTATTATGTCATACATGTACTTCTTAATGAAAGCACTGGGGTAGCCGATCTTGATCAGTGAGTTGTAAATGAATTCAAGCTCCTGACTTAGAGTGTCTACTGTGCAGATCTTTTTAGCTCTGCTAGTGAGATATCTAGCCAAATTTCTCTTGTACCGGATAGGTGTGAAACTGCAGAAGTGAGAAACTTTTATACATGAAACTACAATTCAACGGGCATGTGGCCAGTGATATTCTGAAATATAGGTTAACGAAATTAATCACCATGACATTCTAGGCAGCCAATCTTGCGTTGGCTTTCTCTTGTCGACCAGCGATGTCTACGCAAACGAAGGATAAGTTACCTGAGTTGGCCTCTTCTATGTGCATTTACAAATTCCGCTGCTCCTGTAGAGATAGCTATATCGGGCGTACTACCAGGCAACTTAACCAACAGATGAGTGAACATCTACCAGCGTGGTTTATGAAGGGCCAAATAAAATTATTCATGTTTATATGATTCATATAGAATGTTAACTTGAATCTGCATATATATAAAGTGAAAATTTAAAGATCTATGATCCGAATAAATATGGGTCAAATAGGATGAGAAGGTTATATTGTGTGAAAAATTAGTAAGGAGAGATGAATGCGAAGTGAATAACTAATGTATTGGGGAGATTCAGAATGATGTTTTAACCAGTAGTAATAATATTAATGCAAAAATTTGTGAATAAAGATAACAGAGACAATTACAATTGACTGTGAAAGGTCGTAAGTACAATAGTCTAATTCGATCATTCAATAGCTAAGATTACTTCAATAGTTGAGATCATGAGTCAATTGAAGCTAGACCACCATGGAAAATCTGGAAGCACTGGATGGCTTTTTTGTCCTATTGTGGGACTCCTCAGCAGTACACATCCATGACCCCGTCTCGCGGGGTTCGAACCCAGGATCTACTGGTCTCGCGCGTGAGCACTGAGCCGGCATCTAACGGTGCCAATGTCTAACTTTAACTAATCCGCCATTGTCATCGATGAGTTACTATCTCATAACTGACCCAGTTGAACTCTACTGGTTACTGCTTCTCATTAGAACTCCAGGATATACTAAGATTACTATTGATTAATTGACCTTGATATTAGACAGTAGATGAGGACTGGTTGAAGATATTTCTTCTGTATGTATAGCTCCAATTTCTTCATCCGGATGACTACTACTTTAGCCGTTTATTTTTTCTCTTTATTCTTGTTGATATAATTCATTTTTGTTAGTAATATAGTTAAGTTTTCATTGTTTTAACAAACTTTATATAGATATTTGTTGTTGTTGTTCTTCTTCTTCTTTTTCTTCTGATTATTATTATTATCCTGAAAGATAATTTAATTTTCATACACCTAGTTCCCTTTATCATTTTGAAAAGAGCAAGAACTGAAAGATTCTAGCAGAATAGCATGAATTCATTTTTATTTCATTTGGTTCTCATTAGCTGTTTACAACCTGTGATATTTAGAAATCATAATTACATAATGGGTTTCAATGACTTGCATGAGAGGGTTTGATTGGAAGTTATATTGAAGACATTCGCGTATAGTATAGCAAGGATATAAATAAATGTAATACACTGAATATTGTAAATATATACCTTATATGATGAAAGAACATTGTGACAACAGTTCAAACGGCTAGAAACAAGTAAACATTGATAGGAGTAGAGTTCAGTTGATAAAATAAGATAGTTGGAATAAAACTTAATGATGTGATAAGTGCAAAAAAAAGTTCAAAGGATAAGAAAAAAATGTATTAAGATACAGTGAAGGAATATTAGTCACCAAGACAAGGAAAGATTAATAACCATCTCCTTTTGAACACATAAACATCCTTGTTCACCAATATACCACTTCTTGAAACTATTGATATAATCTGTCAGAATTATAATCTCCTACCTTTACCAGTCCCGGAATTCAAAAAAGTACTATTAATGTGCACAACAGGCGTTCAATTCCAGTTTAATAACACCATATATCGTCAAATCAACGGCGTAGCAATGGGAAGTCCACTAGGTCTAATTCTGGCAGATATTTTTATGGGGTATCTTGAAAACATGGTGCTTAAATAGGCGATTAGCGAAACGACGGAATATTCCAAATGTGTTGATGACACGTTTATTGTCTATAACAGTAAGCAGCATGCAATCCGCTTGCTAAAACTCTTCAATAACACTCATCCTAACATACAATTTACTATGGAACACGAACAGAATAACATGTTCCACTTTCTTGATGTTGCTATAAAACGTAGGAGAGACGGGACAGTCCAACGTTCGATTTATCGAAAAAGTATTTGAATTGGCCTTTACCTGAATTTCAATAGTTTTTTTCCACTCAGTTACAAGAAGGCATTAGTTAAAACACTATTTTATAGGGCAGAAAAGGTATGTTCTACTGACAAACTGGAAGAAGAATTGATGAACGTGGAAAAATGCCTACGAGACAACTTTTACCCACAAAAGTTTATTAACAAATTTAAAAAGCGTAAAGAAAAGAATACTGAAGTAATTACGGTCAATAAAAAACCACTGTCAGGGAAGTCCTACTCACTGCCTTTGTTTACGAAATTGATAGGACGAAAAGCGAATGTCCCGCGCTTTTACCTGGTTGGTGGACACGCACGGTTCATCTAGGGGAGTTACGAAACCCTGGTTTCAAACCAATCGTGTACACGGGCTCCAGGATCCTGAATGAACAAATGGCGTATGAATCAATTGTTGGTCATCGACTACCATGGGATTGCATTTCCTTACATTGTTCCACTGCCTTGTGGATTAAACCTTTAGTTCGGAGGCTCTGGGTGTGGCTCTCTAAGAAAATCAGCTGTTTCGGTTTGGGCACCCGGGCAGTATCATAGCCCACAAATAAATCAAGTGACTTGTGTGGCGCATGTGTATTCGATGCACCTTTGTACCAATATTTATGTGTTCAAATAAATAAATAAATGGAATTCATTCTTCTTGAAGCTTATTCTCTGTATGTTAACATCTTTACTATCACTTTTTACATCGCTACTGTTTCCACTACTTTAGTTATTCATATTTATTGTTTCATGTATTTATTACCGATATGGTTATGTGTCAACTTGAAGAGATGTATTTTTGTGTCCATGGTCTACATTACTGATCATTGATTGATTTCATGTTCTGATCAGTTTGTGATTTGTCTATTTTTTCTTAATTTTAATCCTATTGCGTATCATCGAACAGTCGACCCATTAACAGTCAATATTTCATTATTATTATTGTTGTTAGATGTTGATATATACTCGTGGTTATACATTGATAGTAGTAATTGTAGAACTAAATTATTTGATAATAATATTGTATGGAACATCGAAACTTCCGTTGATATATTCACTGAGATTGATAGATAAGTCCTGGGTTCGAATGTCATGGATACGCACTGCTGAGGAGTCCTAAAAATAAGACGATACGACCATCCAGTGCTTCCAGATTTTCCATGATAATCTAACTTTAATTGATTCATGAATTGAACAATTAAAATACTCGTTTTTCTTTTTTAAATTTATAATAGTTTCTGTATGAAATAAACTATCCTAATTTTGTTAATATGTATGCATATATGGATATATTTTCTATACACATATAGAATCATTTGTGTGTGTGTATATATACATATGCAAATATAAAGGAATTTATCAGTTGTCATTATTCTTCCTGTGTATCGTTGATGATGACAATATTCATAGAGTTTCTCTTGTTTCTCGTTAAGATCATCATTATTTAATGGTAATTGGGATATTAGTAATAGTAGTAGTAGTAGTACTTTTGTGAAGTTATTTATTCTAGTTTCTCTCTCTCTATATACTTGTTGATTGTCATTGTCGTTGTCCTGTTTTGATTGATTAGTTATGTTATATTTATAAAGGGAATAAATATGTAGTATCATTAATCATGTGTTAGTTCAGTGCATTCATTCATCCATATATATATATATTATCTGTCTCTTTATCCCTCCTTACTTCATTGGTTGTAAAGAACATACTGACCACACGTGTACATATTCTGTTACTCTTTATAATTTGTTTCACTATCTATTGATAAGTCGAGGTTATATTAAGGTTAGAGATAATGAGAGAAAGAGAAAAAGAGAGATGGTAAATGAAATGAGACAATAATTGGTTCTGATTGAATACTTCATATATATTCGTGTTATATGTATAATTTAGATAGTATCATGATTTTTTTTTCTTTTGATGAATTGTGGTTATAATAATGAGAAACTATCATACTTAGTTGGATTAGTTAGTTAGTTACTTGATTGTTTTTCGTTGTCCATTTTGAACATTAAAAAAAAGATCTGAAAATAGGCCCTAGTTATAAATAAAGGAGAATAATTAATCACTATGATTGTTTCGTTTTTCTCTCTATCCTGCTTCTTTATTCTAAAGAAGAATAGTGTACATCTATCATAGGCATGTATGTATGTATGTGAAATTATTGACAGAAAGCTAAACAAAACTAAGTACATATTACATTATATTGGATTCGAGTTACATTTATAATTATAAAAGACATAAATCGAAGTAAATGAGACCCTGGTTCGAATCTTTGACACAATAGACTTTTAACTTTTGGTTAGTTTATATGTTCGAACCCATCTATTTTTCAAATGACAAACTCATAGACTGTGAAATATAAATAATCATATTTGAATATAAGTAAAAGTATTTACTTGGTATCTATGCCCGACCGTTGTTGCTACCTTGACGTGGTGGTCGGGCTTGCCTATCGTGATGACCCAACCGAGCTATATTGGCTGGAACATATGTTCCTGTAGGTTCTACCATGCCAGGCAGGTCGATTGGTGAACGGTAAGACTAAAAGCAGCAACTCAAAGTCTGAGGGCGAAGTCGTACTGCTGACTGTACAGAGGTGTGACAGCAGTAAAGTGTTTCCTTCGGACAATCAGCATGACAGCGATGCTGCCTTCCCACAAGGAGGGGTGGGGTTAGAAAAGGTCGACCCTAAAAATGTCACACCTCACCTTACCTCATGGATTTCCGTCTCCGGCGGTAAGAACATCTGAAGAACGGAGCTAACACGTCAAAAACCTTCTACAAAAAGGCCGTGCGCGACCGGCCTCAAGCAGTTGTCCCTTGGGCTCTGCGGTCACGCTCCCAGGTCGTCAAGACCAACACTAATCCAATTTCCTTTTCAGGTTCCTCAAGAAATACCCTTCCACGGTGTGGGCAGCCGGGAAGTGACATCAGCCCTCATACCAGTAACAGCACACGAGACCAAGTTGGTCACATTCGAATCCTTCCTACACCTCCCAATACCTCTCTTATCTCCATGACTAACCCTCCTCACGTCTCTTTATCACCTCGCACCGCTAGGGCAAACGATTCGAGTACGTGGAACTCTATTCCTGGTCTCCTGAAACCACGCTCTAAACTACACGTAGGAGCTTTTAACGTACGAACACTGTGCCAAATAGGACAGCAGGCTTCCTTAGCTAGGACTTTGGAATCTCGCGCCATCGATGTGTGCTGCGTCTCCGAAACGCGCATACAAGATCCAAGTAGCATCATTCATTTGACCTCTCCATGCCAAAATAAAGAACCGACTCGATTTACGCTTCGTGTATCTGGAAGCCATGATTCTGCTTCCCGTGGCCTCGCCGGCGTAGGTATAGCATTTAGTCCTAGGGCAGAACTAGCTCTCTTAAAGTGGATCCCAGTAAAAAGCCGTTTGTGCGCTGTCCGACTGAACGGAACAGTAAGAATCCGGAAAGATAGGGACACTCGTCGTTGCCTCTTCGTCGTCTCTGCCTATTCTCCCACTGACTGCAGCTCAGATGATGTAAAAGATGAGTTTTACAGAAAGCTTTCGGACCTTCTCCGAAAAGCTAAGCGCTCGGATGTAGTAATAGTGGCCAGTGACTTTAATGCTCAAGTAGGTAAACTAAGCGATAGGGAAAGACACCTGGGTGGATCTTATAGTATCGTGGCTCAAAGAACAGATAATGGCGACCGTCTGTTGCAGCTATGCTCAGATAACCGCCTGTTCCTTGCAAATACTAACTTTAAGCATAAGGAAAAACATCTTTTAACATGGCGACCCCCTAATTCGTCCCAACGTTGGACCCAAATAGATCACATCGCTATCAGCCACCGATGGAGGGGCTCGATAGAAGACTGTCGCTCATTCTGGAGCACATGCCTAGATTCAGATCATGCTCTAGTGCGAGCGCGTATTTGCTTGCGTCTTACTGGACGTAGGAAAGACGCTGCAAGGAAACCTCTTAGGGGCCTACTTAATGATAGTCAAGCTAAGAGTATATTTCACAAACCTTTAGGAAAACAGTTAGGCAGCCATGTATGTGATGCCCACCCCGATGCGGCTTGGAATGATATCCGAAAAGCTGTGGAAACAGCAGTGATATCTGCTCGTAAGGTAAATCAGAAGGTTAGGGAGCAACACTGGATCTCAGCAGCATCTATCGCACTGATAGATGCTCGGAAACTCATTCCACCTGACTCTGAACATAGTGAAGAGCGGAGTCAGCTTAAGCGCAAGCTGACAAGAAGTCTACGCAATGATCGCGAACAGTGGTGGGTAGCGAAAGCAAGAGAGATGGAAAAGGCAACGGCAATAGGTAATAGCAGACAATTGTTTAGACTCGTTAAGGAAACCGGAATTAGGAACCCGACTATTAGCGAAGCAATCTCAGAGAAAGATGGACATATTATTCATTCTCAATCCAGGAGATTGGATCGATGGGCAGAACACTTTAGGGATCAGTTCAACTGGCCTTCAGCCACACTTCGGTTTCCCACGATCTCCAGTCAACCTGAATGGCAAGTTAATGTAGGTCCTCCGTCTCTTTATGAAGTTGAAAAAGCCATAGGAAATCTGAAACGAGGGAGAGCAACAGGTCCTGACAGGTTTACTCCTGAGGATGGTGGTCCAGTATTAGCAATGAGATTAACTGATGTATTAGGTAGAATTTGGGAACTGGACGTAATCCCATCTGACTGGTCTCAATCACTGATTGTGCCAGTTTATAAGAAAGGACAAAAGTCCTCTTGTGACAATCACAGAGGAATCAGTTTGACTAATATAGTGTCTAAAATATTAGCTTCAATAATACTTCGACGCCTAATCAAAGCTCGTGAAGAGCAAACTAGAGAAAACCAGGCCGGTTTTCGACCTGGATGTGGTTGTATAGATCAGATATTCACACTACGTCAGGTTCTAGAACACAGACACACATTCAGACGCCCCACAATGGTAGTATTTCTCGACCTTAAGGCGGCATTCGACTCTGTTGACCGTGAGGTTCTATGGCAGTGTTTGTCACTGAAAGGAGTACCAAAGAAGTACATTAACCTTATTCAGGCTCTCTACTCGAACACAACTGGTAGAGTGAGAGCTTATGGCGAACTGTCATCAGAATAGATTACCTCAAGTGGTGTTCGTCAGGGCTGTGCACTCTCCCCATTCTTGTTCAACTTTGTGGTCGACGTACTTTTAGAGATAACACTCTCCTAATCTAAATTTCCGGGGGTTGAACTTCTACCGGGAGGTTCACTTGTTGACTTAGAATATGCAGATGACATAGTTTTATTTGGTGAAGACGCTGACAAAATGCAGAGTCTTCTGACCACTCTAAGCAACAATGCAAGCATGTTCGGGATGCGATTCTCTCCCTCGAAATGCAAAATGTTGCTTCAGGATTGGGTTACATCGACACCCGAACTAGTGATAGGGAGTGAAGTAGTTGAGTGTGTCGACCGCTTCACTTATCTTGGAAGTCTCATCAGCCCTTGTGGTTTGGTGTGTGACGAAATCTCAGCACGGATACAGAAGGCTCGACTAGCTTTTGCCAACTTGCGTCATTTATGGCGTAGGCGAGATATCCGTCTACCAACCTAAGGACGTGTTTACTGCGCAGCAGTTCGTTCCGTCCTACTTTATGGCTGTGAAACATGGCCGGTAAGAGTAGAGGATATTCGTAGGTTACTAGTATTTGATCATAGGTGTCTTCGAAGTATTGCTCGTATATCCTGGGACCACCGAGTAAGTAACGCAGCTGTTAGGAAACGGGTACTAGGTAAGGATGGCAAATCAATTGATGAAGTAGTGAAACTTCATCAGTTGAGATGGCTGGGACACGTGTTACGTATGCCCAACCACCGACTGCCTCGACGTGCGATGTTCAGTGGCATAGGAGTAGGTTGGAAGAAAGCTAGGGGCGGCCAGACCAAAACATGGCACAAGTCCATGAAGTCACTGACAAGTGAACTGGGTCATGTTGGTAGGTGTAGACTACCTGGTTGGGGACCGCGAGATGATAGCAACCGATGGTTAGAGACCCTGAATGACATGGCTCAAAATCGTTTGCAATGGCGCAGGTGCATCCACTCTTTGTGTTCTCCCAAATTCTAATCTTCTGAATTCTTCATGTCCCTTTTTTTCCTCTTTCCAAATTTATTTCACTGGATTATACTCGTTAAATAACATCTCCAAACCCTAATCTTCCCGATTACTGCTTATACTCTTGCTACCTCTACCACTACGGGATTTGAATCGACCACTGCATCTCTGTGCTAATGTGGTATGGCAACTCGAACTGATGTACGTACGTACTAAGTTCTACGTTGTTACTGACTGACTGACTGACTGGTATCTATGTGAGCTACTTTATTCCTTACTTTACATACAATTACTTACGTCTGTTACTCCTAATGAAGCACAGGCCACTGACCAGCATTCTCCAACCCCACTCTGTTCTGGGACATCCTTTCCAGATCATTTTTCTCATGTCAGTCTCTATTTCTCGGCATAGTATGTTCTTTCGTCTTCCTCTCCTCCTCCCCTTGATCCTGAGGATTCCAATAACTGTTTTGACATTTGTATTGAAAATTCTGACCTTGGTGTTGGTTGACAATTGTCTTGAGCTCCAGATGTTCTTCAGTTATACATATTGTATTCTACATATCAACAGTCGTGACATAATTGACAACATACAAAATAATTTAATGGGGTATTTTTAGAATAAAAGCATTCTATACAGTTAATATTTGAGTCCCGGTTACCTAGTTTCACAGTTTAAGATTTTATCATTGAGATATTCAAATGATGCGGTTTTTGATCTCAAAAAGAAAGTCAATTTCCTCAGAATTACAGAGAGGTCATCCTGACGAATACCGACTAACACGAAACTGATGTCCACAGTACCTTGTCGACTACTAGTGCCATCCATTTAACAACAAATCAGGAAATTTGGATTCAAGATTTATCGATCGCTTCTCCGACTTATTTAAATCAAAATTCTTTTTCAGTGTTTACAAATAAAATGTTACAATTCATGTTTATCCTTTTTTCTGTTCTTGCAGTACAATCGATCCATCAACTACAAAATCATTACCAGTAATCGTTCCACCATGGTTTGCATCATTTTCTCAATCGAAACATTCTCATAAGACATCAGATATTCAATTACATACACATTATACAGAGCATTTAGTCGATTCCATTAATACCACTGATGCTGCAATATCTATGCATGATACAGATCGAACAGAAAATAGTCCACGTAATATTGGTAGTAGTAGTAGTAGTGGTACTACTACCACTACAACGACTACAGCTTCTACTACAACGAGCAGTACTAATGATCATCATCATCAAGGTTCTATTACAACTAACACCACATCTCAATCAACTCATTCTTCATCAACATCAGCTGTTTCTGGGACGTCGAATTCCACACCGGGAAGTTCCGGTGTAGGTGTATGCACCTCGTCCAACTCACTTGTTATAGGTTATTATATGGGTGATGATCCGGTACCCTATAGAAGTTTATGGCCATCATCAGAGATTACACTTGGTCAATTTAAACAATTAATTCCAAAGAAAAAAGGCTTATTCCGGTAAGTGATATCGTGTATATATATTGATGTTATTCTAAGGTGATTCTTTATATGTTACATGGTTACAGTTAAGTGATAGAGAAACCTTCGACCCTGTATTCGTTACTATTTTGTACAATGTGCATCAATTTCATCAAGATTACAGGCACACCTTGGTGACAAATCCCATCTAGCTCGAAATTTTAGGTTTATTAGAGTTCCCAGTCAACTACCTTGTATTACCCGAGATGTCAACACAGGTAGTTGTGTAGGTAATGCCGAATCACTTAGACTAATGCGATCATACCACAACTTAATCAATTAAATCCACTCAATACTAAAGGGGTAGATAAACATGTTGGAGATGCTAGATCCTCAGAAGTCACTTGGTAAACTTCTTATTGTAATTTAATCATGAAAATTCGAATTTCTCCTTTTCGCACCGAAAGCGTTCATCATTACCTTCAGCTTATATTTCTCTCCGGGAAGGAACTTAAACTCCATTGATTCGTTTGCGATTTTAAAACGCTATTTTATGACACTTTTCAAAGATATTTTTCTATTGTATATATTACACATGAGTTTAATGCTTATTGTTCCATCTTCCAGGCTGCTTGTTCAACCGTATATTTTTACGTCTGAATTTGGTCTTCTTCCTCTATTTAGCAGAGCCATAGCACAGAAGACTAGTTTAGTTTCATTCTGTTTTTGCTTTGCTGATTTTCGTTTCCGTTCACCGATCCAAGGTGATATCATAAAACGGTGAACATAGCAAAACATGACACTGCTCATACTACTCAGTGATTAATTACTTGTAAACACTTCATTATAAACGATTCAAAAAGAATGTCAAGTAGTTTTATTGTCTCACTTCAATGGTCATTTTCTAGTAAGAATAAACTCTGTTCTCGTTCACGATTTTGACCTTCAACCTGGAAACCAACCAAAATGTAGCGGGGAGTTATTATTCACACCATTGTAATCACTGTGATAGATGGTTTGTTTCGTTTTCTATCATTTTTGTTGGCTTACATAAAAAAATGTAAAATCTTGTATGACGATAATATCACTTTATTATGTTATAGATATATGTCAGGTATAGGGTAGTCAGTCATGAGGCCGTGGTTGTATGCACGTGACCATCTGAGAGCTGACTCTCCACACTCTGGGCCGTATCAGGGTATTTGAAGGCATATGATAAATAACTGTTAAAGTGTTTATGAATACTTCTCAGTGTCTACCCATATTCACATCAAAGTGTTTTTTCCCATTTTTCTTTTAAATTGCCCTTTTAAAAAAAACAGATACTTTTTTAAGAAAGCATCCGATGAATTTGATTCCGGTGTAGTCCATCAAGAGATTACAAATGATGATACTATTCTACCTTTATGGGAAGGTAAAATTGTCGCCAAAGTTGAACGAATTGATTAATGTTTACAAGTTGATTAATAGTTGAAAATAGAACACGTTACTATTAGGAAGAATACAAAAATCATTTATTTCATTGGATTTTTTTCTTCTAAAGGTATAATAATTACGAAGTTTGTTTATTCTCTGTTTCTATCTCTCTCTCTCTCTCTTTCTGATTTTCACTATGTTGAAGAATGAAATAGCATATAACCGCTTAAATGTATCTTTTAACTATTCTGTTTTTCTTTCTCTCTCTCTTTTCCTCCTTGATACGGTATTACACAAATCATTACATTATTCAAATGTAAAAATAAGCGCCTCACAACTTTTCTACTCGATCACTTCCACTTTATTCGTATACACTGCTATCTTCTTCAATATTCTCAAAATCCGGTTATTATTTTCAATGCTGTTCTTATTAATAATGATGATGTAATTGTGGTAATTTGTGCCTTCTTATCATCATTATTTTAGTTGTTTTTAAGTTTTATTATGTATGTATGTATCTATGTATGTATGCGTGTGTATGTGCTTATGTGCAGTACACTTCAATTAATCGTACATACTGGCGAGTGCCCATCCTGATCAATAACACTTTTTCTATGGGTTAAACAGGGTATATTATTATTACTAATAATATTAAATTATAGTTTCTATTTTTCTCTCCTATTTTGGTTTTTTTTTCCTTCCTTTTTTTTCTAATAATAAAAAACAATTTTCGATTTATCCCTTTTTTTTCTAAAAAAAAAGAAAGAAAAAACACACATTTCTATATCCCAGTTATATTCTATGAGGTAAGATAGAAGGAGGGGGGGTGTAGGGAGGTGTTAACAATGATAATCACTGAAAGAGTTGGTCATTGTAAATGTTTATTTTATGCATAGTTACCTCTTGTTCATTTACATTAAATTCTTACCCATCTCATTTTACATACATGACAATTATAATTAACACTTATTATTATGTTTATCTTATGTTTCCTTTAAGAAAAAATAAGAAAAAAATTCCCCCTGCTTTTACAATCCATCAATCTTGATAGTTTTTAACCTAACTACTATTATTATCATTTATAAGGTCAATTCAGTTTTTATTCTTTATTCATTAGTTGAAGAGGAAGGGGGGGAGAGGATGGACGCACATAATGTATTCACATTATTGTTATATTTTACAAAAATCAATGGAGTATCTAATTGAATAGTGAAAGAGAGAGAAAAATCTCTTTTTTGTTTGTTTATTTTTTTTTTGTTAAATAAAATGTTTCCCTTTAAATAGTGAATAAACGGTCTATGTTGTAAACATGTGTGCGAATTTATGTGTAGTTGATGGAAAGTTAGAGACAAATGAGGAATCATGCAACAAATACGCACACACACACCACACATTATACATGATAATAATAAATATGTTTTCTACTCATATTTCATCTTCTGATATAAATTTTATTGTTTTATTGAATGAATGAAAAGTCTATGAAATGGCATTATATTTCTATAGTTTATTGATATTTAAGATTTGTGCATTATATAATATCAGTGCAGTTAATGAGTGTTGTATTTTGTAATACTGATTTATTTCTTATTAGATCAAATAAATTTGGTATTATTGTTATTGTTGTCATCATCATTATGTGATTTGAAAATTTTATTTATTCCAAATAGTTAACCCGATTTCATCATAAAAATAAAATGATCATGTACTTTTATTTCAATGTTTACTATTCATCTCAACAATACACAACACATGCATATTAATCAAAAGAAGAAGAAGAAGACATGTACTGCATAATAGTGCAGATTTTGTTTCTTTCCTTTACTCTCTATCCCTCTCTCTCTCTCTCACGAATTATAAGGAGTTTATACAGTGTGTTGTGGTAACTATTAAGATTCTCAATCATTATTTCACGTAGTACCAGTCGGATTGGAGATCTAATCCACGAAAAATTGTTATAACTTGTTTCATGTGTCTTATTTATACTTAAAGTAATGATACCACCAATTATCGACTGGGTCAATGATGCATAAAACCATTTATGAAATAGTCTAGAGACTTTGTCGGTCTTACTACCTGTCTGTCTTTTGAGTGCAGAACACATCAATCTCAGCCTCTGTGATATGAATCTTATATTTCACAAACATACTGGGTTTATATACACTAGCCGCCAAACAGATCACATTGTGATGGTGGAGAAGATTTGTAGCTCAGGTGGATGATTTTGGTGGAGTTTTGTTCTCTGAGCTGGATGATTTGGTCGTGGAGCTTTCATCGTTCTTCTGAACGACATCATCAGCACAAACTTCAAATAGAAGTGAAGTGTTTCGAATTTAAGGTCAACGAGAACCAATCAACATCGAGGTGCACAGAACAAGCTGTGAAACACATGGAGAAATTCGAACACTTCACTTCTATTTGAAGTTTGTGCTGATGATGTCGTTCAGAAGAACGATGAAAGCTCCACGACCAAACCATCCAGCTCAGAGAACAAAACTCCACCAAGATCACATTGTATCATAAAATAGAAGATAACGAGAATAATCAACACTTTAATGTTTATTGATCCTCGAACCTCTTTTTAACCGAATAATCAATTAAAAGATGATGATTGGCAAGGAAATTAATTCTTCATTGTAACTAATTTAATCATACAATACTAGACCACACACAAAGGGTATCAAATATGAAATACAATTATACTGTATCTAGTAGTAAAAGACAGAATAAACAATATACAATTAAAGAATAATTAAGTATCTAAAAGTTACTAGGTGTATCACAAGTTTACAATAAGCGGAACATAGAAATCTAACAATAAAGTTATTTACTAATTATACAATAAAGATATAAATCATTATAATCTGTAAAATAAAGTCGAACTTCTCAACTTCTCCAACATTCGTTCTGTTATAACAGTATTATAGTGAACAAGAACACGGGTGGGGACAATCGAATGTATTTAGCAGAACAATTACAGACTATCAAACTGAACTGTTTCTGTTGCAAACACCAATCCATTGTCTCCCATTCCATTGTTCATGCGTTTTCGCACAAATTCCATTGTGTTCTCGCTCTTCCTTTCTTGATCTTTCCCATCTTCTGCTGCCAGATATTACGTTCTTTTAACTCGCGTCATGTACTACTCATATCAATATAAGTAGCTCACACCACAGTATGATATTTCACTTAAGGTGGTAGTCGACAGGGCAGTTTGTATTTAAGCTTTATGCTGGTTAGTACTTGACAGCAACATATATCTACAATTTTAAGGTAAAGGATATTCTTTTTAGAATCCGGACTCGCGTTATCGAACTTCACAAACTGAGACGTTATCATTTTACAGGGTTGTAACAATGACAACAAATATCTATCACTGATTATTTGAATCAATATCATGTTTGTTTGCATCTATTTATAGTGTTGATCAAATCTTATCGATCAATTTAGTTTTAATTAACAATTATTTATTGAATTATTCATCAAGAAAGTTTGTATCTTGACATATTGAAAGTGTATGTTTTGAATAGATTATTTAATGTATTTTATTTGATGGACAAATACGTATCCAACAAATGCAGATGTGATAATACATGGTGTAGGCATAAAGATATACTATTTGAGTTGATTGTGTTACGTTGTTGTTATTATGATCTCTAAGTTGGATAGAATAGTTATACAACTTTCATTGTTCCAAAGATCACTGAGATATGTAGTCAAATGTACCTGTTGCAATAAATAACATGCTTCACAATTAATCCACTTAGTTTAGAGTTTATAATAACTCAGACAACATTAACATCCTGAACTACAAATGTTCTCTATCATCTCATGTGTTACGTTCTATGAATGGATAGACACATAATCCTTTTAAGCAAGCCCTATCATTGACGTTAGTGAGAAGATTAAAGATAAATGGAATGCTGTAACTGGCAACCAAATTACTGTATACACAACTCATTGATCGGTATATACTTTTACGACTTGAATTTGTACGTTGAAACCTTGACAAACTGCATTCCCGGTTTGATTTGATAAAATATGTTATATTATCATCTCTCCCAATCAGTACTCATTGGGATATTACAAATGTATTATTGATTTATAGATTCATCATAAATTCAAACAATCATTATCATAAAACATCATATTATCGAAGGTATATATTTTTTCTAGTGCTTACTTGTTATATACGCATATTTTAAGATACTTTGGTATGTGCTACCGATGTTGACAGATATCAGTAGTATATATCATCAATCAAAATTGAAATGCCTAGCAACAGAATGTTAAGGAGATCAATGAGAAAAGAATGAGAACAGAGAGTAATTGTTGTGGAAACGAAAAAACAATGAAGCCGAAGATGATTGATTGATAATTTATTATTATTATTTATTATATTGTTCACAGATTTTACTAAGACATTCTGTATTCAGATACATTCAATTAGTCCATCCTGATGGTCTCGTCCACTGTAATACTAGCTAAACATTTACACAAAAGCAACGATAAGATACTTGTGGACAGTATATATACTTATCGGTTGATGTGGCCCAAATACAACACTTTGTTAATGATCACAATTTTCCAAATTTGGTCAGTAAATTCAAGGTTCGAAACTTACTCCATTTGTTTGTTTATAGTATAGAATAATCGAATAGTATCAGTACAATTTAGTTTGAAATCAACAATATGAATTTGTAAACAAACTATAAAATATACTGTAATCATATTGTTATTAATTAAAAGAAAAGAAATAAACAGTTAGATAGATATTACTAACACATAATTAGTAGTAGTATTAATAATTCTGATAAAATAATACAATGTATATATATAAAAAAAAGAGAGTAAACTCACACAAATGCATAAATGATTCAAGTGGTCAATATGAATAGTCAAATAGAATTATGTAACAATAAATGATCAATAATAAAGCATAAAAAGAACAAGTTACATTAAAATATAAAGAGTAATTCATTGTTTTCATTTTGAAGATAAAAATTAAGTAATAATCTATTCATCAGCTGTAATGATCATGTTCACCTTTAAAAGAGAATAATTAGAAAAAGGGAATATTATTTCTTAATTATAATAACTGTTTAAGTAATAAAAAAAAACAAGCAAATAAATGGATGGTGAATAGTAGTGGAATCCAGGAATATATTAGCCACTTAGTAGTTAAGTGAACAATGTGATGGCGTTTCAAGTAAACGGTACTGATGTTCGAGACCCAGAGTAGGTATATCCACCAGCTAAGGATTTTCAAACAGGATAAAACGCGGATTCTGGATTCCACTGCTAACCAGCAACCATCTTTGTTTATCAGTATAGGAGTCCTATTGCGTTTTTTTTTATATTTAGATCACGAACAGATTGATGTTAGGCGGCCATTAAAGACCTGAAAGCACAGTGCGACCCTCTTTTCCCTATTGTGGGACCCCTCGGTAGTGCGCATCCACGACTCCGCCCGCGGGACTCCAACCCAGGGCTCTCAGCATCGTCCGCGAACGCTTAACCTACTGAACCGGCTTCCAATGGTGTTAATATCTAACCTGAACCAATCCACGAAATCGCGCGATCATCTTTGTTTATTTGAATGCAATTAATCAGTCTCTTATTGGTATATATGCATCTAGTGCGGATTGCCTCGATATTGCCTCCAGTCACAAGCATTATAAACAAAGATGGATAGTGGTCAGCAGTGGAATCTAGGAGGCACGTTTCGTTGTATTTTGGACTCGTCAACTGGATGTACCTGCACCTCAGAGTTGATGATCACTCTGGGACTTGAGTTCAGTAGCTAAGTGGATAACATGATGATGTTTGAAGTGAACAGTAAGCAAGAACAATCAGGTTTGTTGAATAAAATGAATTCATTAGTCTATTTCACTGCTTTTCATCATCTGCATAGAATTATCCAAAAAAATTGTGAACATGTTTGTCAGCATCTTAAAAGGAGCACCAGTTTTTTCATTTTCAAAATTCTAGACAAGATAAACTGATAAATGCTCTTTAGCCTCTTTCTGACCCCTTCCAATAACCAATAATTATTTATTTATTTAAATACAAACATCGGTACAAGGAGGTACCGAATTGATATGCGCCACATAAGTCATCTGATTTGTGTGTGGGCTTGCACACTGCCTAGGTGTCCAAACCGAAAAAGGTGGTCCTGTTGGAGGGCCCCATACCCGGAGCCTTCGACTTAAATGTCTGATCCACAAGACAGTAAAGCGACGTCAGGAGATGCAATCCCATTGTAGTTGATGACCGACAATTGACTCATACGTCATTTGTTCACTCAGGATCCTGGAGCCCATGTTCACTATTGGTTTGAAAACTGAGTTTTCCAACTCCCTTAGGTAAATCCTTCATATCGACCAACCTGGTTAAAGTGCTTAATAATCGCTTTTCGTCCTATCATTTTCGTAAACAACACCGATATCGCGAGAAGGCAGTGATTGTACGCATATGGAGCATTTAGAAAGGGGGAGCTGACTCTCCACACTCTCAGTCGTACCAGCGTATTTGAGGGCAACCAACAATCAAACCAAATAAGAAATGTCATGTTATTTGAACTAATACATATATTTATATGTTCATCGAAAGAATCTAATTACCATTTAAGATTAGATAAATACAACTACTCAACCATCAATCACACTGTTCGATTAGAATCTTCTGAATGAACTTAGCAAAAATCAATGTTATTTTATAGTTCAGTTAACCTGGAAGCTTTTGACGGCCATTTCGTTCTAGTATGCGACTCCTTATCAGTGCGCATCCATGATCCTGCTGGGAACCAGGACCTATCGGTCTTGCGCGCAAATGCTTAACTTCTAAATCATTGAGTCACTACCTATTGGATGCCAACTCATTGGTCATTTTCTTTTGTTCACAAATTATCATGTTGATCTCAATAATTTAACTTATGAACAAGTTATATTTAATTTCAATGGTTAAGATCATTAGTCAGTTGAAGCTAGACCAACATGGAAAACCTGGAAGCACTGGACGGCCGTCTCGTTATGCTCACTAGTGACTGGCTTGAAGAGGTTTATCCTGGAGTTCTAGTGAGAAGTAGTAACCAGTGGAGTTCAACCAGGTCTGCTGTGAGATAGTAACTCACTGATGACAATGGTGGATGTGCCGCTCAATTGCGTGGATTAATTGAAGTTAGACATTAACACCGTTGGATACCAGCCCAGTGGTTAAGTGCTCGCGTGCGAAACCAGTAGGTCCTGGGTTCGAATCGCGCAGGGATTGAGGTCGTGGATGCGCACCGCTGAGAAGTTCCACAATAGGGCGAAACTGCCGTCCAGTGCTTCTAGGTTTCCCATGGTAGTCTAGTTTCACATGACTCATCATCTTAACCATTGAAATCACTATAGTATCCACAAAACCCATCTTATATGTAATTATTAAATAAATAAACAACAACTTACTCCTTCAATTATTCGATTACGAACATTATTTATATGAATCTCATTATTGATTTGTTCAATTCCTTGTTGAAATTGTTCAATATTATTGTCATTATTTTGTTCCATTGAATATGATTTATTATTTTCAAATGTTTTTTCTATTGTCATAATAGAGTTATTGTCTATATTTATAGAATGATTCAATTGATTGAATGAATTATTATTATTTTGTAAGGATGAATATTGTTGATTTTGTTTGAATTGGTTCTGTTGTTGATGACGATAACAACAAGAACATTTTTCTTCGCTATCACCTTCTTGATGTTGTTGTTGTTGTTGTGGAATATGTGAATGATCTGTTAAGGAATGTTTACATTTTAAACATACATTATTAGATGATGATGATGATGATGATGGTAATTTGTTAATATGATGTGAATTAAATGTAGATGATTTTTTTACTATTGATGGTGTTGTTGTTGTTGTTTTCATCATATAACCAAGTGCATGTTCGTGAAGTAAATGTCGATCAGGTCGTGTTTCATCCTCTTTAAATATAGATGATTTAGGATCATAATATTGTTGACAAACAAAATGCCATAATGGTGAATTATTTGAACGTCCATGGGTATTTTGCATATCCTTGAAACATAAAAGAGATAAACAAAAAAACAATCCATTCAATGAATACATAAGGTAAAACTTTAATGCAGCGGCGTCTGACGAAATCTCAGAACGGATTCCAAAAGGTCGTTTGGCTTTTGTCAACTTACGTCACCTATGGCGAAGACGAGATATCCGTCTTTCAATAAGACGAGTATACTGCACATCAGTTAGTTCTGTTCTACGGCTGAGAAACATGGCCATTAGGAGATTTGTTAGCTACTTGTACTTGGGCATAGATGTATTAAAGATATTGCTTGTATTTGCTGGGATCAGCGGGTAAGTAATAGTGAGGTTCGACACAAGATATAATGGAATGATGGTAAATTAGTTGGCGAGGTTGTGGATCTTCATCGACTGAGATGGTTGGTCCACGTGTTACGTATGCCTGAACACCGATTGCAATGCTAACCGGTGTTGGGGATGGTTGGAAGAAAGTTAGGGGCGGCCAAACCAAAACGTGGCATCAGTGCTTGAAGTCACTAGCCTCTAAGTCTTAACCATGTTCGTAGATGCAGACTACTTGGTTGGGGTCCGCGCGAAAATCGTAACCAATGATTGGAGACTCGTGATGACATGGCTCCGAATCAATCAACATGGCATAGGTGTATACACTCGGTGTCTTCACTTACACTATAAAATTGAAATCGCTTCGTATCTTTCTTTCTACGAACTAATTCTTCTCTTTACTGTATCCTTACCTAAAATCTTTCCTTTATATATAACGCCATTGGGTTAACTGCTTCTATGAATTCGGTGTTCATCTTGCTGTGCTAATAAGGTATGGCAACTTGGACGGATGCATATATGTGCTTGGTTCTACGTTGTAACTGACAAGTTGAGTGAAACTATCCGATTGTATGATCATTGCCTTCTCGCAGCCCGTGTGTTGTTTACGAAATTAAAAGGATGAAAAGCGAACGATCAGCACTTTAAACGGGTTGATGGATACAGAGGGTCCATCACCCGAGGAAGACAGAAAACTCTGATTCCAAACCAGTGATGCACATGGGCTCCATGATCCTGAGCGAACAAACGGTACATGAACCTATTGTTGTTCACCGGCTATCGTGAGACTACATCTCTTTACGTTGCTTCATTGCCTTGTAGATCAGACCTGTAGGTCAGAGGCTTCGGGTGTAGCCCCGAAGAAAACCACTTGCTTCGATCTGGACAGCATCCTAGCTCTCATACAAGTGGAATGGCGAAGCGTGATGCATATATGTACTCGGTGTCTCTTTGTAACAATATTTATGTATTCAATTAAACAAATAAATGTCTCTTGTTGAATACATTTGTGATTTTTAATGACCATGTCAAATGTATAAAGACATAAAACCATTTTTACATAAGCAAACGCTATCCGTTGATGTTCTAGTTGTGTGTAGATCTTGCTATGATAATATGTAGCGAAAATTCCACTTTATCGATTCTTAAACATCAATAACCATTTATAGATTTAGTCATTTTACGCTATACTGTCTATTTTTTTTAAAGTTACTGATGATAATGCGACTAAAACAGGAAAAGTTGGAGAACGAAGTTAAAATCGGCAATTTATTATTCGCTGAAAGGTAATTGAATTTACTACAAACTCCACTCTGTTGGATAAATTAAGTGATAACCAGAATAGTTCGATCTTTTTCGAGTTTAATACAGTAGTTACCGGTTCCAGGGTTTTATACTGTGAAAAGTTATTTGAACAGTTCACAATACTTTAAGTTTGTTTCTATTAGCAACACAACAGCATACTAATTTGTATGAGATCGTAGTACAGTTTATCACATACTTGACTTTTGTCACTCCAATCACATTAATTGATTTCAATTGATCAAGTTTCAAATTATATTGGATGATGACTTTCCAATTTTGATAAATAAGGATCGATAAAGACAAATGAAACGTTATGAATTCATCTTAACTGAAGTTGGCGCTAGATTTGAAGATATTATTTTGTTTACCTACTCATAAGTAGTTAAATTTTGTATGTAGAAATTTCGGTTCACCAAACAAGATGATAACTTGCAGAAGAGATTTACATTTAAATGATACTGAGGGAGATTTGTTTCGAAAAACAAATCGTTTGTTAATATAACATTTGCTTGAAATTGGTTGTTACAAAATGAACATCACAACTTTAAAATCCACCATAATATGAATAATCGATAACTTCAGAAATCAGTGATGTTTGTAAATAGACCTAGGATAACGCATCTGAGACTACAAACTACCATAATACCAAACTTGAATGCTTTTAACCGATAAACAAACGTAAAGACAAGTGAACTATAGTGGCGATACATTTAGTTTATTGATTACAATCACATCCATGCAATTGAATGGATTTGATCAGTATTCAAGGCTAAATAGACAAAGGACTGGTTAGCGTAGTAGTTAGTACACACATTGAGGAAAGCACTCAACTGCGTCACTCACTTGGAATCATCAGCGCCATAGGAGAAGATAAAGACGAAAGAAATGGATACAGATAAGAGAAGAATGAACAACAATTGGATATAACTAGAAAGGAAGACTCAGGATAGAGTGGGTTGGAGAATGCTGGTCGGTGGCTTATGCTCCTTCATTAGGAGTAACAGGCGTAAATAAGTAAGCACATGACTGATCACCCCTATACTATTTGTTTGGATGATCAATTAAAATTTTATTCAAATGAATTATTAATATTATCTGGCTATATAATATACCACTATTGGAAACCTGGAAACACTGCACAGCCGTTTCGCCCTATTGTGGGAATCCTCAGCAGTGCGCGCACCGGATTCCGCTAATGGGATTCGAATCCGGGGCCTTACGTCTCGCGCGCAAACGCTTAGCCTACTGGACCACTGAGCCGGCATCCAGCGGGATCGTGGAGGCGTACTGCTGAGGAGTCCCACAATAGGGCGAAACGGCTGTCCAGGTTTTCATTGGTGGTGTAATATCAACTGGTTCATGATCTCAGTCAAAAACTAAGTAATCTCCACAACCCCTAAACTGTTAAAATTTGAAGCCAAATAGTACAGCTCATTTCCGTTTCCAGGAAAACCAGACAGCATCCAAGCTTAAATTTTATAACCCGAGGAGTATAGCTTAATCCCGCTTCACAGGAGAACCAGACACCATATAGACTTTAAATCTTGTGGCGCAACCACACAGGTACCAAGCACCCTGGTGGACTATTCGCACCATTTATATACACATTCACGTCACATGTATAATAATTATTCTGATCAATGATCGTGTGAATCAATTATGCACAGCACAAACAAACGAAAGTTGACTTATTCCACTTAGACGACAGTCAAACTCATTAATCTTAGCAATAGCAATGTCCCAATAACAATGGTCCTTAAGAACATTAAAAGACAACTACCAGTATAAATGAAATCAGTTAACCGAAAAACCAATTTTCTGCATAAACAATCAACAAAACGTGTCGAAATAATATCGAATCATTCACACTATCAATGATGAACATTCAATCTCATAATGAGACCTTCACAGCTCTACATAGTAACGCAACTGACCTCGGAGACGTCGACGTGGGTTCTGGAAAGAGTTCTCTTTTCTTTGTTGAGAGTGCATCCACCCCTTGGAATCGGTTTGTCCGAAGATAGGGGGTTAGCCTACGTAAAGCACTACCCTTCTTGTAGTGTCCGGATTGCACCCAAATGTCCAGGTACGGCCGAGAGTTGCCACGCGTATATAGCCTCTGCCAGAGAAGTCCTATTTAATGCCTTCTCGTGGTGGGGGTGTTGTTTACAAAATTGAGAGGACGAAAAGCGTAAGTCCGGCGCTTTAACCTGGTTGGTGGACACAGAGAGTCTTTAATCTCTTGATAACGTGTATAAACTTGTGTATTTGTGCACGGTCGAAAGTGGGAAGAGTCAAATCTCCCTCTTGAAATGGTCTCACATGGCCACATGTATACAACCACTGTTAGTGAAGTCCCACTCACTACTTTGTCGTGGCGGGGGGTATTGTTTACGAAATCGAGAAGACGAAAACCGAATATCCGACGATTCAACTGGGTTGATAGATATGAAGGATCCACCTAGACGAGTTGGAAAAACCCTGATTCTAAACTAATGGTGTACATAAGCTTTAGGATCGTGAAAGAACAAATGGTATATGAACCAATTGTTGGTCATTGACTACCGTAGAATTGCATCTCCTTACATTGCTTCACTGCCTTGTGGATTAGACTTTTATGTCAAAGGCTCTAGGTATAGCCCCCACCCTAAGAAAACCACCTACTTTGGTCTGAGCATCCAGGAAGTATTACAGCTCTTACACAAATCTATTCAATGCCTCTCTTAGTACCAATATTTATATATTCAAATAAATCAATAAAGATTATTAATATTAAACTTCGCCTGGAGTCTTTCCAGAGGCTACTGCCAGGTCGCAAGCCCGAATAAAGGAAAAGGTTTAGGCATTAGGATTAACGATCTCATCTCGTAGAAAACTAACTCATTAATCAAAAAAACCAAATTATTCAAATCTTTACATGATATTTTAAAAAATAAATATTAATTATATATCAATGTAACTTACTTTTACTTCTTCATATGCTTCAAATATAATTGTTACAAATAAATTTAATACAACATATATAAATAATGTAATAAATAAATATAAAAATAAACGACTAAATAAATAAATTCCAATTGGAGAATTATTATTAATAATAGTAAATGTAACAAACATATCATCACCATTAATTAAACTATATAAACATTCAACAGTAGACATAAATGTACGAAATTTTATATTATATGGTCCTAATACAACCCAACCGCATAAACTGAATGCAAAAAATAATATTAATGCACAAACACAAAAACGTAATAAACCAGGTATAGATCGTGATATAGTACGAATAAGTAACTAAAAGAAAAGAAGAAAAAAAAAGAAAAAGAAAATAGTGAAGTGATGATGATAATAATAATAATAATAAGAGATAGATGATCATTATATGAATAATGATGTTTGTGTCCTAGGGGGGGGATATCATAAGGAATAATGTATTTACTTATACCTGTTACTTCTCGTGAAGAAATATAAGCCGCTTAAATAGCACACTCTATTTAATCGTGTTCTAAGCAATCCTTTTCATGTCTACTTACAATTTCTGACGTAATGTGTTCTTTGACCTTACACTTTTTTCTTGTTTCCATTCACGATTCCAAGTTAGGGCTTGTCTCGTGATGCAGTTTGATAATTTATGTGATATATGTCCTATCCATTTCTATCATCTTTTCTGAAATTTCTCTTCAGATGGAAGTTGATCAGTTTTCTCCAACAGTAGGCTATTGCTGATGGTATCTGGTCAATGGATATTGAGTATGGAGAAATTCGAACACTACACTTCTATCTGAAGTTTGTGCTGATGATGTCGTTCAGAAGAACGATGAAAGCTCCACGACCAAACTATCCAGCTTAGAGAACAAAACCCTACCAAAATATTTGTACCTTCTTGATCATGGTTGTAGTAGTTCTCCAAGTTTCAGCTCCGTACAGTAGACCTGTATTGATCTTCGTACTGAAGATTGTGACTATGATATTGGTTGAAAGTTGTATTGATATATTTCTGTTTATTCATCTACAAGTTACATTAATGATTATAGTCGATGTTTCATAGTTAAACTTGTTTGAATGACATGGATTAAAATCATTTTCAATGTCGTAGGTGCATCCACTCTTTGTGTTTTTCTAAGTTCTAATCTTCTGAATTCTTCATAAACATCTCGTTTTTCTTTTTCTAAATTTATTTCGCTGGATTGTACTCGTTGAATAACATCTTCAAACCCTAATGTTTCCGATTACTGCTTAAACTCTTACTACCTCTACCACTATGATATTTAAATGGACAATTGTATCTGTGTGCAAATGTGGTATGGCAACTTGAACTGATGTACGTACGTACGAAGTTCTACGTTGTTCATGACTAAACTGACTTGTGAATTCTTTATTAGTATAGTGAATAAAGAGTAGACCTAATAATAGATAGATTGAGGATTTATTAACTTAAAATAATCTGTAGTGTATAATTCATTAATTCTTCTTTGATCAATTACTATTTTTCAAAGTTTACACGAATGTTCTTGATTCAATATTGGATGATCTGGGGTTCCTATCACACGCGTGTTTCGTTTTGTTTTGAACTCTTCAGTCGCATGCACTTGGATCATAGGGTTAATCTTCACTCCAATACTGGAACATAATAATATTTGCTTCAAATATCAACACTTTATCCACTTAACTACTGATTTCAGATAGCCACTCACTTGTGCGATGACGGTGTTTGCTTTAAGTTCTATAGTGAAAATCAATCCTGGGATGTAGGTACACTAAATAAGAATTCTACTTCCGATTCTTGATATGTACTACTTATATCTGTCCGTATAAGCAGCACATATCACAATAAATATGATCGGTTAGTCAATTAGTCATCCGCAATATAAAAACTAATAAATATTTGAATACATTCAAATCGCTAAATTGGCAGAGATAAAATTATACATCAATAAATTCAAGTCTTAATTTATCCAATATATTAAATAAACAAACAAAATTTAAGCAAATGTATTCTTATGTGCGGTACTTTAACGGAGTTGATAGATACGGAGGATCAACCTAGGAGAGTTGGAAAACCCTGATTCTAAACCATTGGTGTATATAAGCTCCAAGGTCCTAAAGGAACTTATTGTTGGTCACCGGCTACCACGGTACTGTATCTCCTAACCTTATTCCATTGAATTGTGGATTGAACCACCTGCTTTGATTTGAACGCCCAGGTAGTAGTAATTCAGCCTTCACATAAATGGAATGAAGAAGTATGGTGTATTTGTATTTGGTGCCTTCTTATTACTAATGTTGATATGCTTAAAGAAATACTTATCATTCACTTATTCATGGTATATTAATGAACATAAGAGTTGATTATGGATCCTAATTTCTATTTATCATTTGAATGAACAAATCAATTATTCGGGATATTGGATTAATGGATATACAACTAAAACCATGAAGTTGTCTACTACAATCAATCATCATCTTTATTTGTCAATGAAACTATATTCAACAGATTATCACTTTTCACTAGATAATAATGCATAATTTCAATGTTCTTATGTATTAATCAAAGAAGGAGAATGTCTTTGTACGAAGAATATGCAACTGAACAATTCTAATCAGTGTTATTCACATACGCTATCATGCATTCAACTTGTTTGTTTTATGAGTAAAATTATATCACTTTAATTGATTCCATTTTACAGATCATTTATACAGATAATTTATAATTAAACATATAAACATTGGTATAAGAAGGCATCAAAATATATGCATGTCATACACTGACTACCTCTCCCGCTTCTTCCAACCGGTCCCAATGTCCACAAATTATACAAGACATGGAATTCTCTGAGACAACATTCGTAGAACATGTCTACGCCACCGAATTCGATGTTTCAAGACAGCAACATTAATGGAATTAGCGTGATTGTGTCTGAACACACACGATGCCGAACCTTTGCATTACTAACATAGTGTTGCTGCCACTGGATACCAGCAATCCTTTGGAGTCAAAGATGATCAAATACAGCGAATTGTGAGTTAAACAATGTTCTACAAGTGCATCACACATATATTTACATAATTTTCGAATCCCAATGTAAAGTAGTTTGAATAATTTTGATCGATTATTTCAACTTGAATTCGCGATTTAATAATCGTTATATTGCACGATTAAAACACTGTAGAAACACAATCGAGACGAGTTTCTAAAAAAAACATGATGTTGACCATTTCAAAGTCCAGAAAATTGAAACGAACTGAGTGAAACCGACTACAATCACCTTTTGACTAATAAACTTTATACTACTTATGAGTAACATGAAATTATAAGCTAAAGTTTGTTACAATCAGGCATCTAATCCGTGTGTATACTTACGCTATTATCATATGAGAAACCAACATAGTATAGTATACCAATCCAGACAAGTAGTGCACCAATACCCATTAAATAAGTCAATGGTTCGTATTTTACTTGAATCTATGAAACAAAATTAACAAAGCAACAATAAATGGACATTGAAACTATTGTTTGTATTACAATATTATTACGAGTGTTTATCAAAATGACGTGTCTCAAATAAGAAATGCATGTCACCGCTTTTCACTGTTTCAGGATTGGGTTGCATCGACAACCGTACTAATGATAGGAAGTGAAGTAGTTGAGCATGTCGACCGCTTCACTTATCTCGGTAGTCTCATCAGCCCTAGTGGTCTGGGATGTGACGAAATCTCAGCACGGATACAGAAGGCTTGACTAGCTTTTAATAACATACGTCATTTATGGCGTAGCTGAGAATTCCGTCTACCAACTAAAGAACGGGTTATTGTGCAATATTTCATTCCGTCCTACTTCATGACAGTGAACATGGTCGGCAAGAGTAGAGGATATTCGTAGGTTACTAGTATTTGATCATAGGTGTCTTCGAAACATTGCGCGTATATCCTGGGACCATCGAATAAGTAACGCAGTTGTTAGGAAACGGGTACTAGGTAAGGATGGCAAATCAATTGATGAAGTGGTGAAACTTCATCAGTTGAGATGGCTTGGGCACGTTACGTATGTTCAACGACCAACTGCCTCGACGTGCGATGTTCAGTGGGATAGGAGTAGTTTGGAAGAAAGCTAGGGGCGGTCAGACCAAAACATAGCATAAGTCCATGAAGTCACTGACAAGTGGACTGAGTCATGTTGGTAGGTGTAGACTACCTGGTTGGTATCTGTAAAACGATAGCAACCGATGGTTAGAGACCTTGAATGTTATGGCTCAAAATCGTTTGCAATGGCACAGGTGCATCCACTCTTTGTGTTCTCCCAAATTCTAATCTTCTGAATTCTTCATGTCCTTTTTTCTCTTTCCTTTTTCCAAATTTATTTCACTGGATAATACTCCTTGAATAACATCTTCAAACTCTAATTTTTCTGATTACAATTAATAATTTTACTACATTTAACACTACGAGATTTGAATGAACATTTGTATCTGTGTGCTAATATGGTAATTGGCAACTTGAACTGATGTACGTACGTACAAAATTCTATGTTATTACCGACTGACTGATATGGTGATGGCGACTGAAATTGATTCACATATATCATAGGTTCTATATTGCTTATGACTGACTAATTGATTGATTGCTTCAATATATATAAAAGGATAGAACAATCAGTTAATCGAATCAATCCAAATTCCAATCTACGATTTTATATATAAACAAAATATCAAATTAAATGAGAATAATTATGCATTCCTTTGAAGAAAAGAAAAGAAAAGAAATACATTATCACCATCTTATCCATTTTTTTTTCTTGATTATGTTTTATAAAAGAGAAGAAAATCACTCATGATTTAAATGACAAACTCTTACATAGAAAAAAAAACCCCTCCTAGAACACATACATGAAATGATCATTTAGTGTTGCTTTGTTTTTCATCATTAATCTACATTGAATTGACACATAATCTCAATTATTAACAACAACAACAACAACAAAACCTACTATAATAATAATAATATCGACAACAACCTTTTCCTCCTCCCCCCCCACCTTATTCTGATCTTTATTTTAATTGATGAATATATTTATTGATTTATTTATTATGATAATGGATATACCATTTATAAATTAATTTTATTTTTATTCACTTAGAAACATAAAAAGAATTTCTATCGATTATGTAGTAAAAGTAAACAAGAATAATTCTCTATAATAGTTTGTTCAAGTATATATATATATACAGCAAGTAGAGCATACCGAAATTGTATCTTTAACCTTCATTCCGTTTATCGAGTAAAGTGAATCGTAATAGTATACAAGCATATCAGTTTCCTTTGAGATTTGTCATGAGTCAGTAACAATGTAGAATTTCGTACGTACATATGTACTTACATCAGTTCAAGTTGCCAATTACCACATTAGCACAAAGATGGAGTTGTCAATTTAAATCCCATAGTAGTAGAGGTAGTAAAAGTATAAGTATTAATCGGAAACATTAGGGTTTGAAAATGTTATTCATGGAGTATAATCCAGTGAAATGAATTTGGAAAGAGAAAAAATAACAGACATGAAGGATTCAGAAGATTAGAATTTGGGAGAACACAAAGTGTGGATGCACCTGCGCCATTGAAAACGATTTTCAGTTATATCATTCAGGGTCTCTAACTATCGGTTGCTATCATCTCGCGGATCCCAACCATGATTTGTGCCATGTTTTGGTCTGACCGGCCCTAGTTTTCTTCCAACCTACTCCTACACCATAAAACATCGCTTTTCAGGGCAGTTGGAGGTTGGGCATACGTCAGAAACAACCTATTGACCGTAACTACTATCTAGTCATGATGAATTGAGATATAAATGATTGAAACACTTGTTCCTATGAATCGTTCTATCATGCCAGTCAGGTAAGTTGGAGAACAATAAAAAATAAAAGAAGCAAACTCAAGCACTGAGGGTGAAAATGTATTGCCGATTATATTGGAGTGTGACGGCAGTAAAGTGTTTCTCTTAGAAAATCAGCACCTAAAGTGATTCTCATACAACAGAAGAAAAGATCATCCCCAAAAATAAAACACCTTTTCTTACTCTATAAATTTTCGGTCTAAGCAATATAAATCCAACACACAATTATTCACAAAATGGTCCTAGGTGGCAGGCCCTGAGCATTTGTTCCTCAGGTACTGTGAACACCCTGACAGGTCTTTAGGAACACTACCACTAATCGAGTTTCATTTTAGGTCCTTGATAAACGTCAATCTTCTACAGTGCAGACAACTCGGAAACGAAAACTGACAACATACATTTGACAGCACTTCAGGCTGATATTTAACATGGTTGGTATATATTGATTAGCATGTGAAAGTATAACAGGTAGCTTTGAGTTGTTAAATCATCAGACTTGAAACCTTAAACATCAACTTCATATCAACTATCTCTCTTATCATTTTTTAAAGATGATTTCTGATTTACTTTAGTCGAAAACCAGTTAAGTGAACAATTTCTACTAAATTTTAAAGAAACCATTCGTATGAAAACTTACATGATTCAATGTACTCAATGCATATATTGATGTAGTGATGATAACCAAATCATTGACTATGATAAATAAAATCCATGGACGAACAAATTCCCAAAACACTCCATTCAATTGAATTCCAAACCAATTCTTAAAGAATCCAACAGTCTCCTAAATGTTGAGTTGAATAAATGAAAAGAAAAAAAACACATCTTCAATGTGATAAATATTAAACACTATATATACTATTAAACTGGAACCACCTTAAGCAACAATGCAAGCATGTTTGGGATGCGGTTCTTTCCTTCTAAATGTAAAATGTTACTTCAGAATTGGCTTGTGTTATGGCATGAATTAATGATATGGAGAGAATTAGTTGGACACATCGACCGTGTCACTTATCTCGGGGGTCTCACCATTCTTGATAGTCTGGTGTCTGACAAAAGGTTAGCATGGGTTCAGAATGCTCGATTGGATTCTGCCAACTTGCGTCCCCTCTGGCGTAGACGAGATATCCGTCTGCCAATCAAAGGCGCGTTTGCCATGTAGCATTTTGCTCAACCCAACTTTATGGATGTGAAACATGGCTATTAAGAAGAGATATTCGGAGGTTACTAGTATTTGATCATAGGAGTCTACAAAGCATTGCTCGTATATTTTTATACCACGGAGAAAGAAAGTTCGGGTTAGGAATAGGGTACTCAGTAAGGATGGCAAGTTGAATGATGAGGTAGTAAACCTTCATCGACCGAGATGGTTGAGACATATGTTATGCATGTCTAACCACCTCCTACCTCGGCAGGCGATGTTGTCTAGTGTAGAAGTAGTCTGCAAAAAAGGTAAGAGTGGCCCGACCGAAACATGGTATCAATCCATGAAGTCATTGACATTTGGACTGAGCCATGTTGGTAGATGAAGACTGCCTGGTTGAAGTCCGCGTAATTATCGTAACCAATGGTTAGAAACTCGAAATGACATGGCTCGAAATCGCTTGTAATAGCGCATGTGTATCCATTTTCCGACTTTCCTCAGATTCTAGGCTCTTAAATTTTTCATGATTTCTTTATTTCACAAATTCATACGTTCTTGAATTGCATCTTCAATATCTAACCTTTTTTATTACCACTGATACTGTTATTTACTCTACTATTCCGAAATTTGGCCTGACAATTTGATCTCTCTCTAGTAATGGGATATAGCAACTTAAACCGATGTACACATCTACCAAGTTCTACGTTGTGACTGACTAAAATCGGGATAATGGATAGCAGTAAAATCCAGTACAGATATTCCATCCTATTTGTGACTTGTTAACTAAATGCAGCAAGTATGCTTCACTTACCAGAGGTTACTGCCATCAAGTATTTCCAGTATAATCTTTACATTCAAAATAACAGTGTGATGAGTTACTCTTTATCTTGTTAACAAAATGTTTTTTCTACCGATCAGTACTTACTTACTTACGGCTGTTACTCCTCGTCAAGGAACATAGGCCGCTCACCAGCATTCTCAGTCCAACCCTGTCCTGGGCAATCCTTTCCAGCTCTTTCCAGTCGTTATTCATCCTTTTCATATCTGCTTCTATTATCCGATGTAATGTGTTCTTTGGCCTTCCGCTTTCACGCTTCCCTTCAGGATTCCAAGTTAGTGCTTGTCTGGTGATGCAGTTTGATGATTTGAGTAATGTATGTCCTATCCATTTCCATCGTCTTTTCCTAATTTCTTCTTCATCTGGAAGCTGGTTTGTTCTCTCCCACAGTAGACTGCTGCCTATGGTATCCGATCAATGGATGTTGAGTATCTTGCGAAGACAACTATTTATAAATACTTGTACCTTTTTGATGACGGTTGTTGTAGTTCTCCAAGTTTCAGCTCCATACAGTAGGACGATCTTGACGTTCGTATTGAAGATTGTGACTTTGATATTGGTTGAAAGTTGTTTTGAGTTCGTATGTTATTCAATTGTAGGAAACCGACCCTTGCTTTGATAATCCTCCCCTTCACGTCTGCGTCTGATCCTAATTGTTCATCAATGATGCCGCCCAGATATGTACAGCTTTTTACATCCTTCAAAGTTTCTCCATCAAATGTGATTCGATTGCTGTATACTGGTTTGTATTGGAGAATCTTGCTTTTCCTTTTGTGTATGTTGAGACCTACTGGTGCTACTGCTACACTAGTCGTCTTCTCCTGCATTCATTGTTGCTTATGAGATAGAAAAGTCAAATCATTTGCGAAGTCTAGATCGTCCAGGCTGCATCCTAGTTATCCATTGTATCCCATGTTCCCCGCCAAAGATGTTGATATAGTTTACAATGAGGGGGGAAACATAATCCCATTTAGACTACTTACTAAACTAGGATTTAATAATATTGTAATAAATTTTCAAGATACCATATATATATATATATATATATATATATATATATATATATATATATATATATATATATATATATATATATATATATTCTTTTATAATAAATAATTCAAATAGAAATACTACACTTACAATCCACATATGAAATCCTTGTATAATAGATCGTATACATAGAATACATGAAATAATACTAAGAATTAATGTAAAACTATCAATCAGTATAACTAATAATCTATGCGAGAATAAATATTTAATTTCAATCGATTTATTCATTGTTAAATTCCAAAATTGAATTAATAATTTATACTTTTTCTCATTATTATATTGTTCAGTTGTAGTAGATGATAATAATGAAGTAGTCGTTGAAGAAGGAGATGATGATGATGATGGTGAGGAGGAGGAGGAGGAGGATGAGGATGAGGATGAATATATTATAGATACATTATGATCAAATGTATGATTATTATGTAATTGTTTTGAAATATCAATACATGGAGTTGATGCATATGGTGCACGTAGGATAATTTTTATTTGACCCGATTGAGAAGGATTCTCTAAAGATATCTTTAATAATAATAATAATAATAATAATAATAATAATAATAATAATAATAATAATAATAATAATAATAATAATAATAATAGTAATAATAATAATAATAATAATAATAATAATAATAATAATACAAAATTAAGTTGTAAATTGAATAAATAAACAAATAACTTCAACAGTTGAGATCATGAGTGATTTAAAGTTAGATCACCATGAAAAACTTGGAAGCAATGGATGGCCGTTTCGTCCTAGTGTGGGGACTCCTCAGTGGCAGTGTGCATCCACGACTTGATTTAAAGCAATTAGTCCCATTTGATAAATTTCGATCATGTAATAAGAAGACAAAGATGATCAGAACTAACTATGTGATAGATTAGTGCAATATATTTTTAAAAAAATGAATGATCACACATTATATAGTTGTGTTAAGATCATTTATATCTGAAGAATAAAAGATTAATTAGATTAGAAATGGAGGATAAGAGGAGACAAGGATAAAAAGTCAATATTACCAGGGTATGTTTAAGGTGAGATACAAACTGTTTTCTTTTAATAATCTTTGTCTTCTTATTATATTATCGAAATAATTCATTACCAAAAAAACCCAAACTAGACAGAACAGGGTTCGAACTTATGACTTGATAGTACAATATTGAACATTTCAGCTACACTATACTGTAGAGTTCCATATAGATTACTATTAAATTATTAAACATAGTAATCGTTAAAAATTCAACGGTTTATTTAAATGCAAGCCCATAAATGCCCTGGTACGACCGAGAGTGTAGAGAGTTCGCTCTCCCTCTCCAAATGCTCTCACATGGCCACGCGTATATAGCCTCTGCCAGGGAAGTCCTACTCACTGCCCTTTCGTGGCGGGGGTGTTGTTTACGAAATTGAGAGGACGGAAATCGAATGTCCGGCGCTTTAACCGGATTCTAAACTAACGGTGTACATGAGCTCCAGTATCCTGAGGGAACAAATGGCGTATGAACCAATTGTTGGTCACCGGCTTCCATGGGACTGCATCTCCTTACGATGCTCCACTGCCTTGTGGATCAGACCTTCAGGTCGAAGGCTCGGGGAGTGGCCCCCTAAGAAAACCACCTGCTTCGGTACAGGCACCCTGGCAGTATCACAGCCCTCACACATATCGAATGAGATTTGTGTGACGCATATGTATTTGGTACCTCCTTGTACCGATATCTATGTGTTAAAATAAGTAAATAATAATAAATTATTTAAGTACAAACAATTTCTCTATTTTATATCAATGACCAGAATATTTAAGTGAATAATTTTTTTCCATTAAGAGGTTCTACAGTTATTATAAGTTCATAATTATTGTGATATTTTACGAAGATATGCATTAAATGAATTTGACAATGTTATAGAATTAAAAATATGGTGAACTTTTGCATTCGTTACATACAAATACTTTCAATAGTTGAAATCATCACTTAATTGAAGCTGGATCACCATGGAAAACTTGAAAGCACTGGATGGCCATTTCGTTCTAGTATGGAATTTTGTGTGTGTGTTCTATCCAGAAGGTCCTAGGTTTGAATCTCGCGAGACAGAATCGTTGATGCGCACCACTGAGGAATCTCGCAACAGAACGAAACAGCCGTTCAGTTCTTCCAGGTTTCTCATGGTGGTCTATCTTCAATTGACTCATGAATTCAATTATTATATTATTAGAATATCCACAAAAATCCCTTCTGATACTAATCAGCATATGCTCAATAGTGACTGGCTTCAAGAGGTGTTTCTTAGAGTTTTAGTGAGAGGCAGTGATCAGTGAAGTTCAACCGGGTATGTTGTGAGATAATAACTAACTAATGACAATGGTGGAAGTGTCGCTCACTTTCGTGCATTAGTTGAAGTTAAGCATTAACAGCATTGCATGCCGGCTTAGTGGTCTAAAGATTAAGAGTTCGTTCGCGAGACCGATAGTTCCTAGGTTTGAATCTCGCGAGGCGGAATCGTGAATGCGCACTGCTGAGGAGTCTCACAATAGGAAAAAATGGTCGTTCAGTGCTTCGAGGTTTTCCATGGTAGTCTAGCTTCAATTGACTCATGATTTCAACTGTTGAAATTACTACAATATCCACAAAAACCCCTTCTGTTATAAATACTTCAAAATTGTGTGATTTATAAACTAGAAAGGTCATTTAATAAAGGTCAGTATGATTTATAGTAAAGTGTCAAGCTTTAATCAATATAACAGTAATACAATACATTCTGTGAATATAATACATTAGAACCTGATGTAAAATACAGAAAGTTTTATCTAGTTTAATATGATGTTCACTATCTACCAAATGTGAAAAGATGACGCTGTTAATACATCCCATGATTCGTTTTACAAACCATACTGGCACATGATTACGAGTACACAAGAATAAGGCCCTCTGAGTACGACCATTATAGATCTATTCAAATGTATTTCTGTTCTTTTAAAAGTTAATTGAATACTGGATCACTAGATACCTAAATTGAATATCATAAACCTCTTATCCTCTTCAACCTAATTCCATTTTTTGTCTATATCTTTGTTAATCTACACACATTCATCTTTTCCAATTCATATTGTAGTGTTCATCTTGTTGTGCTGATGCGGTATGGCAACCTGGACCGATGCACATAAGTGCATGGTTCTACGTTGTAGCTGACTGACTGACTGAAGGAGAACACACAGGTGATGACAACCGATTTATATTCAGCACAAAATTATAGAGTTACTTGGTAAAATAGAAAAATCATACTATAATACTTAATTTGCAAAATGTTCAATAATTGTCTCGAACTTCGTTGTTCTTGCATTTCCATACTAATTGCTTTCTATTCCCGCTCTTCCTTTCTTGATCTTCTCAATCTTCTACTGCCAGACAATACATTCCTGACTAGCATCATATACTACTTATATCAATATACGTAGCAAGTACCACAAAATGACTACCTTTTTATCATAGTTACCTTGACAACACCTGTCTTAATACATATTATATTCGGACATTATTATTATTATTATTATTATTATTATTATTATTATTATTATTATTATTATTATTATTATTATTACCTCGACTATGAAGACGAAATATTCTTACAATACATTCTATTCATACAATATATTATATTATTGTTCTAATGATTACAATTTGACAAATCATTCTTATCTTTATTCTATGACCTTTCTAGTATACAATTTCGAGGTATTTATATCTTAACAAATGCAAAAGTTCATCAATATTGTAGAAAATATATCACATTTAATGTATATCTAATTGGTAGTGCATGTATAATATCACAAATAATTATGGACTTATACCAACTATTGTTGACATCATGAATCAATTGAAGCTACACCAACTAACTATATTTTAGGGTATAAATCAATAGGTCATTAATATCTAATATTGTTGTATTTAATAATGATATGCAATCATACTCTCTTTGTAACATAGTCAATAGAATTTTGATTACCATTAAACAATTAGATGAATATAACATTGATAATCGTAAATATTTCATTGGTTGAAATCATGAGTCAATTGAAGCTAGACCACCATGGAAAACCTGGAAGCACTGAACGGCCGTTTCGTCCTAGTATGGGACTCCTCAGCAGCTCGTATCCACGACCCCACCCCACGCGAGATTTGAACCCAGGACCTATCAGTCTCGTGCGCGAGCGCTTAACCATAAGACCACTAAGCCGGCATCAGCGGTGTTAATGTCTAACTTCAACCAATCCACGAAGTTGCGCCATCATATATCATTGTCTTCAGTGAGTTCCTATCTCACAACAGACCTGGTTGAACGACTTATCACTAGAACTACAGGAGTATCTACTGATGTTAGTCACTAATGAGCAGGTGATCATTATTATCAGAATGGGTTTTGTGGATATTTTTTAGAAACTTCACTGGTTGAAATCTCCACAAAACCCATTCTGATAGTAAATATTTCAGTCTTATAGATCAGTAATGGCTTAAATAGCTTAGTAGTAATATTTCAGATTGTGAAGGTGAATAACGGTAGTTCTCCTACCTTCAACTAATTAATATATAGAAGGAATGAATTGAGCGAAGAAATTTCTTTTCAACTAGTTTTTCATCATGGCTCTACACTAATATATATATATATATATATATATATATATATATATATATATATATATATATATATATATATATATATATATATATATATAAGGTTATCTACTATAATCCATCAAATTCGAAACATGGTTTACGAGTGCGTCTTTTGCACACTGCTGTAATCATCGCAATCCATGTTCAGAAACCTAAGCTTTGCATCCAAAAGTTTTTACAACCACTTCCGTTACCATGGCTATCGGTATAGGGACGTTTGTAACAGAACATTGATAAACTATTTTCGTAATTCTTCCATTTTTTTGCTTTTTGAACTTTTAATTTAACTTATTCTCAACATTCATCTCTTGATTCTTACATATCTACTATTCTACTGACCATTTATCAAAATATTCTATTCCTTCTCTTTTTTTATATATTATACAACGTAGCAACTTTTTGATTTTTAAATAATTACTTTGCTAATTATTAATCCTCTTTCTTCCAATTACTTAATGTTAATTTATCAATTTCAATAGTTGAAATCATGAGTCAATTGAAGCTAGACCACCATGGAAAACATGGAACAACTGGACGGCCGTTAGACATTAACACCGTTGGATGCCGGCTCAGTGGTCTAATGGTTAAGCGCTCGCGCGCGAAACTGATAGGTCCTGAGGTTTGAATCTCGCGGGGAGCGGGATCGTGGTTGCGCACTGATGAGAAGTCCCCACAATAGGACGAAACGGCCGTCCAGTGATTCCAGGTTTTCCATGGTGGTCTAGCTTCAATTGACTCATAAAATTTCTAAAAAAAATCTCAACAAAACCCCTTTCTAATGTTAATTTATAATAGAAATGTCATTATGTAATTATTATTACATGACGTATCCACTCGATGACTATTATATCATTATTGTAAATCATACTTATATATAATAATGTAGAGCCATGATGAAAAACTAATTGAAAAGAAATTTCTTCACTCAATTCGTTCCTTCTTTATTTACCGAATGTTAAAATGGGAATTTTTCACTATAATTAGTATATTTGTGCTTAATAACTGAATATAATCCATTTCATCTTTGTAAACTATATTCTAGAATCTTTATTCTTCTTTAAGATCGTTGATATCTTTCTATCTTCCTGTACTATATCCTTATATGAAATCTTTCTTTTATATATTACCACCATTGAATTAACTACTTCTATGAATTCAGTGTTCATCTTCTTATGCTAATGAAGTATGGCAACTTGAACCGATGCATATATATGCCTGATCCTATATTGTAACTGACTGACTGATATTACAATCATTATGATCTATTTAGTATCTTATTTTGTTAATTGGGCATAAAAATTTTAGTTAATGTATATTTACGCCAGATTGTATGTTTATTATGACAATCACAATTGATTGATCACTGGGTGGTGATCAATGTCATGAGTGTCTAGTCTTTATTAATGCAGATCGGATGCTATCGACCATGTTGCAATGTGGTCACCAGTCTAGGTGACTCGACACTGCGTGCACTATATATTGAAATTAGATGGTGGTTGGAGGTAGTCGACAGGAAACTCTGGACCCGAGTTTCGTGCTACTTGGCACTCGTCAGCAAGGTATACCTGTAATCTTGAAGGAACGGGTGCTCCCTGGCAGATTCGATCTCGTGTCGACTACCTCCAACCACCATCTAATTATTATGATGATATTTTTTTATAATATGCTAAATGTTCTAGGGAATGACACAATTAAACAATTGTAAATTAAATAATATTGGACAATCTATTCAATGAATAATGAGAAATGTAATGTACATAGGAATGACTAATATTTGTATATTGTGATGACCTTATCAAATAAATTTGGATCATTCATATGATCAACTTGTTAATGGTTATTAACATTGAAGCAATAGTACTAATCTATTATGGTAATTTATAATAAAAAGAGGAATATTATCTCTTCGATATAATAATAAACCATATCTGTCAATTAAACAATGAGAATTGATTATTTCATATAATCAGTAACTCAATTATCGGAGAGTGTTTGTGTATGTGTGTAGGGGTAATTACTTAAGCCATATAAACAACAGTCTCTCATGTGAAGAGGAGAACAATCAACTTCCCTTCATAGATATACTTTTGAGTAGACAAGAAGATGGCTCAGTCAAACGATCCATTTTTAGAAAATCAACGTGAACAAGTCAATACCTTAGTTATTATAGTTATTGCACTGTGTAATACAAACGTAGTTCGATAAGGTGCCTATTCAACAGGCTTCATCGTATTTGTACAAATGACGCCATTGATGATGATGTTAAGTTGCTAGGTAAGGCATTAATGGAAAATGGCCATCCTCTGAAATTCATAAATAGATGCAAAGTTCATGGTGCAGTGAGACCTACTGTAGTGTTGGTAGAAAAAAGGCTCACCACTCAGAGGTGATTAAAAATAGCCTTTTATTGAAACAAAGGCTTAAATCAGTCATCAACAAAACGTATTGCGCAGTAAAGGTCGTCATCAAAGAAGGAACAGGGTGCATGCTTCATCCAAAACCTAAAAGACATGAAAACGATTGTGTCACATCCCACTGTGTTTACCAGTTCCATTGTGTGTGTGTGTGGTCACACATACATAGGGAGGAGCAATTGCGAATCTCGAACTACATAATGACAGTAAGTCGATCTTCCATAATTTGTGATAGCGGACTTCAACGCCTCAAGCGATGGGAACGCAACGAGAAACAAGGTTGTCAAAAAGACTTCCTCCATTTCTGTTACGTGAGAAACAACAGGGCTTGTACCCGGCACGTTACTCTCCTCCATAATGATGATTAAAATGTACTTCGTCGACAAGTACTGATGGTTTATAACAATTTGACAAGACATAACTAACCAATTAAAACAAATTTTAAAACTAGCCATTTCATTGGACGAAACGAGATGAAAAATATTGTAATTTTGGGGTTGAAAATTTTTTTAAAAAAAGGGTGGGTTTTTTTTAAAAAAATTGCCGTGGGGATAATGAAAACCAACATCCATCATCCTCTATTGCTAAACATATAATCGAAACAGGCCATAAGATTGATCTTAACTCGGCTTTTGTGTTGTTGTATGAAAGTGTAAAAGGGCGTATACTAAGGTTTATTGAAGCCTTAGCCATACGAAAATTCAAATCTTCTTTGTGTATTCAAAAACAGTTTGTTCTCACCTTAAATCTACCCTAGTAATATTGACTTATTGTCCAGAGTGATAAGGTTTCCAATTGTGTTCACATTATTATTATTATTATTATTATTATTATTATTATTATTATTATTATTATTATTATTATTACTCTTATTATTAAACTTGTCTCTTGTTATCTCATTTCCAGTCTAGTCGACGTTTTATTTTTACATATAAATGCTCTTAACAAGTATATGTGTGATCAGATTGTTTGAAATGTATTACGCTAATCTATCATCACATAATTATAATAATCTTCGTCTTCTTATTACATTATCGAAATTTAGGAAAGGGACTAATTGCTTTAAAGATTCCTTTCATTTAAAACAGTTGAACGTTGTTAATAGGATCCCTTGCTTAACGTAGGTTTCGTAGACATCGACACTAGTTAGCTGCATTTGTATAATTAAGAGAACTAATGCTAACCTAGTAAGACTTAAATCGGAGCGTCAGAAATGTTACCGCATATAGAAAGACTAGATTACTACTACCTAGTGAGAAAAAAAGTGTGTAAACGTTATAAAACACATTAAAGCTTAATAATTAAATGCATTCCAAAATAGAACATTAACAGTGGGGTGTAGAAAATAATTTAAAGAACTCCCCCTGGTACGGCCGAGGGTGGGGAGAGTTCGCTCTCTCTCGAAATGCTCTCACATGGCCACATGCATACAACAACTGCCAGAGAAGTCCTAATCACTACCTTCCTGTGGCATTACTGTTATTTCCGAAATTGAGAAAATGAAAAGCCAATATCCAGCGACTTAACCGGGTTGGTGGATATGGAGGATCCATCTGAGAAGTTGGAAAACCATAATCCCAAACAAAATGCGTATGAACCTATTGGTCACTAGCTACCATGAGACTGCATCTCTTTACGTTACTCCACTGTCTTGTGGATCAGACCATTAGGTCGAAGGCTTGAGGAGTGGCCTCCCAAGAAAACCCCCTGCTTCGGTTTGGGCATCCGGGCAGTATCTTATCCCTCATATGGATCGAATGATTTATTTGGTGCATATTCATTTGGTGCCTCCTTTTATCAATGTTTATGTGTTCAAATAAATAAATAAGAAAATAATTGTCTATCATACCTTAATCATAAAACGATAACATTCAGTGCTTTGTGTCCAATCCAACTGATAAATTGGTGGAGATAACAGATTGAAATAAATATCAAATCCAAGTAAACTGGAATTCCGTGAGTAGAATTGAAGGGTAAAGGTAACCCACAGTTGATTGGACGACGATAGTGTGTAAATGAGAAAGAAAATAGGTTATTTAGAAATTTCTCAAGCAACATAGAAGAAAAAAACGAGAAGACATATGGTGCTCAAAAACGTTTTTGGTTGTAATTTATATATATATATATATATATATATATATATATATATATATATATATGTGAGTTATAATTCAAACCACTGTATAAGCAAAAGGTTATCTGAACTTAGTAGCTAGGCGGATAACGCGATGTTGTTTGAAGCAAAAGCTTCCCGGTTTAAGTCGCAGAGCGAATATCAACAATGAGATGCAGGTATATCCAGCTGAAGGATCCTAAATAGGATGAAACATGTGCTCTGGATTTCACTGCTAGCCACCACCCATTTCTGCTTAAGATAATTTATGAGTTTACAATCAACACTTTCTGATAAAACATGTCACAAGGTTCGAACGTAAATACTGATGTTCTCAGTGTTCCAAACTGAGAAAAATGAAACTAATAAAGATTACTCTCAAAACTTTAACAACCAAAACTCTTATCGATAAGATAGGAGGTCCAGTCCCATAATATATCGTAATCAGAATAGGTTTAAGAGGTAACTCAATGGTTACAGTGTTCGACTTTCAGTCACTTAGACCGTTGAAGAATATTATAAAACCCTAGACTTAATGTGTGGTTCGAGGTTAAATCCACTAAACTGTACTATATAAAAGATTTTATGGATTGATATTCAGTAGATAAGGAAACATGTTGATTACATTGATATTTCTTAGAGTTCAACAGTTAAGCTTTATATATATCCATACAAAGATATATAGGGATCAATAATCAGATAAAATCGAATATTTATTCTCTTTTTCAATATTCACACTAATGTTTATATGAGGTCGAAATCCCGACATCCAATATAAAACATAAAGTTGATCCACAGAATTAATCTCAATAAATATGTATTAAAAATAAGAGTTCTAACACTGAATAGTAATGGAATATTAGACGTCAACCGGTGTATTTTTGAATTTACTTTCATTATTCCTTCATACATATCGTTGTCTTCTATCTTTTCAAACTATAATCCCAATGCTTAGTCTTTCGCACTATTCTTGTTATGATAAATAATTCGACTCATTTGATATATATATATATATATATATATATATATATATATATATATATATATATATATATATATATATATGTTGGTACAACATCATGTATCTTATTTACCACCCATATACTTTAGTGATTCAACCACTAAAAGCCATAGCCCTTATAAAGCTAAATACAAGTTAAACATAAGTTCAGTCTCCATACGATTGAAGGACAATTCTTTTTGAAGTACCCTGAAAAGAAATTGGATTATGGGTGATCGTTTCCATGTGGGAGAGTGGTTGCAGTGTCTAAGAAGATGCAGATGAGTGAGATGAGATGTTAGATTTTTTGTGCAGATTTAATCCAAAAACCTCCTCCCAATTGTCTGAAGGCAAAACCGTTGGAAACAACCCACTGCCATCACATCTGTGTACAGTCAGTGGTACAACTTTGCTCTCGAACCTAAAGTTCCTACTTACGGTCTTACCGCTGTGTCCAACCGATCTGCCTAGTATGATATGACCTAAAATAACAAGTATTTTGTCAGCCAACAGCATAGAAACTGTGAAGAGTGTACACTGATTTAGACTTCTGAGCAGCATAATCAGTACAAAACAAAATTTAACTCAAAATATGAAGTAAAAGAGTAGTTAGATACAGAATAAAGGAAACATAGTTTAGAAGAAATGAACTGATTCAGAGGAAGATAATGCATGAATGTATTTCTGCTATGAGAACTTTCAATAATTCCTCAAAAGATCAAGAAAAAATGTTGCAAATACTTTAACCAATTTGTATTCTTTAAAAAACTTCCAAGATAATTCTGAGAAAGCACTGAATATGTCGCTATTATTCTGATAGGACAATTATGAATCTCATTACTAATTTAGATGTAATTCCCAAAAGCCTATGGAATTTTCGGGCTATAGATAGTTCTACACTTACACTTTTTTTGTACATGAATAAATCTACTAGATGACGTCTTCTTTTTTTCATACTTTTCGCCTTTTGCTTTCTCTTCGGCATTCAACAGTAGATTTCTTGAGACTATGGAGTGATTAGGAAATCGGTATCTAAGCACGTTCAAATACACGATGTATTATTGTGACATGGTTATTGACTATGCTTGTTGTAGGGACTCAACAAACAACAAAAATCTACATCTTATGATATAATTCAGTGAAATCAATCAGTAAATTTATTGAATGATGATCAAAAACAAAGTGTTACACATTATTTTTTCTATCCTCTTATCAGTACAAATCAATTTCTGCATGTGATAAAGAAAATCGACATTTAATTTCTATGCAGAATAACACCTTGAATACATGAAAGTTTAGATTCGATTATTGAACGAACACGTGTATGGCTTAATTCTAATGTGATATCTATTAGGTAGAAAATATTTTTCTGATACTTGAATTAATATTCGAAATTAAAGCCATATATATATTCACAGTTGAATTCATGAGTTAATCTAAGCTAGACTACCATTTAAAATCTGGAAATATTAGACAGCTGTTTCGTTCTAGTATGGTGCTGCTCAGCGGTGCGCACCCATGACCACACTCGCGGAAATCGGACCCAGGACTTTCGGTTTCGCGAGTGAACGCTCAACCTCTAGACCTCCGAGCTAAGATCAACGAGTGAATTCAACTGTGAAAATACTATATTCCCCTCAAATCCCTATACCGATATAGATACACATAGACAGAGAGAGAGAGACAATTGAATGCAGTTATAATGGTTACACATACCGCATTTGTTCACTCAAAAAAAGGTATAGAGTGATGGAATATTAGAAATTTACAAGACAAACACGTGGATGGATCTCCATGCATTTCATGTAGCCTTTTTTAACATTTAGGAGACTGTACCAAGAAAATTTAAATTAAATGACACAATTTAGAACAACTAAAATTCAGTAACCTTACGAATTGCTTTCGTGTTTCTATTACTGTTAAGCTTTTCTGTGACATGGTTTAGCTCTAAACAAAACTTAATTTAGAAATAAGAGTACATGCGACCTAGTAATTCAGCTTACAAATTTATTTATTTATTTTAACACATAGATATTGGTACAAGGAGGCACCAAATATATATGCGCCACACAAATCTCATTTGATAAGTGTGAGGGCTGTGATACTACCCGGGTGCCCAGACCGAAGCAAGTGGTGTTCTTAGGGGGCCACATCTGAAGCTCTCGACATGAAGGTCTGATCCACAAGGCAGTGGAGCATCGTAAGAAGATGCAGTCCCATGGTAGCCGATGACTAACAATTGGTTCATACGCCATTTGTTCCTTCAGGATACTGGAGTCCATGTGCACCATTTGTTTGGAATCGTGGTTTTCCAACTCCTCTACGTGAGCCCTCTGTGTCCACCAACCCGGTTAAAGCACCAGACATCCGCTTTTCATCCTCTCAATTTCGTAAATAACACCGGTGTTGTGAGAAGTCAGTGAGTAGGACTTCCCTGGCAGAAGCTATATACGCGTGGCCATGTGAGAGCATTTGGAGAGGGAGAGTGAACTCTCCCCACTCTCAGCCGTACCAGGGTATTTGGGGGCAGGTAATTTACTCTGATAGACGTAGTTATAAGTATGTATTAAGTATACTGCACCATTAATTAGATCGACTTATAATATTCTTAGTTCATTGATTCGATACGACACGGATAATGCCTTAGACAGATAAATGACTGTTTTATGCACTTCAAAACTGTTTTACATTTGTAAAATACCATGCAATAGAGTACCTTGAAGTATATTAGTTTTTTATGATATATTTAGATAACTGTTAGGAGATATAAATGGAGTGCTTTTGTTATGCCCCAATAAGCATAATGAATGGTAACTTTTGGGATCCATTTATAGACCGATACTATGCGTATATTTTTATCGTATAATTGTTAAATAACTAAACTATTCCTATTCGTATCCCTCTTATTATGAGCTTTATTTTGACCTGTGAACTATTACTACTGAAGAGGCTGAGATCGGTGTTCTGGACTTGACTGGCTGGGCTAGGCAGGAAGCAAGACCAATAAGTACTCTAACTTACGCCTGTTACTCCTCGTGAAGGAGCATAGGCCGCTCACCAGCATTCTCCATCCAACCCTGTCCTGGGCAATCCTTTCTAGCTCCGTCCAGTTGTAATTCATCGTTTTCATATCTGCTTCTATTATCCGACGCAATGTGAATAAGTACTCTAGACTGCTCATATAGGTTTACGTGTCACTGGTCCGATCGATAAGTCACTGCTCTCTAATTGACAGCATGGTTACGTTATACATTAGCAGGGCACACAGGCCACAAGTTATAACAGATTTAGAAATTGTAAGAGAGCTTATTGTATCCATATTGAAGAGTTGAGAAGACAACAACAACTGATCATTATAATACTTGTAACACATCCAGTTCAAACGTCAATAGGGTGTTTTCAGTGTGATATTTTTTCGAGGTGACGTATGTAAAACCTTGCCCCATACAGTGACAATAATACTGCACAGTATCATCGCTAACTGGTTACCATTTATCAGTATAGACACATCATCGGAAAGCAGGATTACTTACAAGATGTCAGTGAGCATTGAAATGGTTAACTAACTTCATACACTAAATAAATGGAATAAAAATTTCTCTGCGCAAATCAGTTGAAAAACTGGTTTAGAAATAGTTACACATGAAAAATAAATGATTGAAGGTTATAGTTTTGGTAATCGGCTACTATGAGAGTAAAAACTACTTTGCCATTGTCTTGTTTAATGAACTTTTGGGTTAAATATTGAAATGCCAATCACTGAATGGAATTATTCCACATCATTTTAAACCTTACAGGTAATATTGATAAACTTGTAGTAATTCAAAAGATCGCTCAACACATTCATTAGAAATATGCCAACTTATGTATAACACAATACAGTTCAAACTGTTTATAAAGTCAGATTTCTAACAATCATTTGATATACACATAGATGTAAGATAACTAATTCATGAATAGATAGCTTCAAAGGAAGAGAATTTCGAGATAAATCCTCTTATCTTCTCGAAAAATAACTACTAATACTATGTTGGTTCGATTTTTTCTTCTTCTTTAAGCATGGAATTCGTGATTCGAACTTACAACTTGATGATTATTGTTATCTAATTTATCAGGTGTACAGATTGCTGTAATTCGGTTTGAACCATACTCCAAGTATTAAAAATAGTGATTCAATCAGTCTTCCCAAACTGAAGTCAGTAGAGTGGGGCTTAAGCCTGTCAACTTATTGGTTGAAAATTGAATACCTTAACCACTGAACCAGTGCTTCAATTTAGTGGTTGAAAGTGTCAGTCAGTAACAACGTAGAACTTCGTACGTACGTACATCAGTTCGAGTTGCCATACCACATTAGCATACAGATACGAATGTCCACTCAAATCTCATAGTGGTAGAGATAGTAAAAGTACAAAGAGTAATCTGGAACATTAGGGTTTGAAGATGTTATTCAACGAGTATAATCCAGTGAAAGAAATTCGGAAAGAGAAAAAAGGAAGGGATATGAAGAATTCAAAAGATTAGAATTTGGGAAAACACAAAGAGTGGATGCACCTGTGCCTTTGCAAACGATTTTCAGCCATGTCGTTCAAGGTCACTAACCATTGGTTCCTATCGTCCCGCGGATCCCAACCAAGTAGTCTACACCCACCAACATGGCTCAGTCCACTTGTCAGTGACTTCATGCATTTGTGACATGTTTTAATTTGACCGCCCCTAGTTTTCTTCCAATCTACTCCTACACCATAATACATCGCTCGTTAGGGCAGTCGGTGACTGGACACATGAACATAGTAAAATTATCATAAATTTTTAAATGATTAAGGGGTATTCGTAACAAATGAATGAATGAATGAATAACTTACTAATTAAAATCAATATCCAATTGATGATCCTGTAAAAATGTTTTTATTAAATTTCCATTAGCTAATTGTTCAGAATTGATTTTATTCACTTCAATAGATGTACATTCTATTTAATAGATAAATAAATAAATAAATGTTATATTTAGTAAGTTTAATATTGTTTGAATTAAGAAATAAGTAGTATATGCATTCAATAAAAAGTAAACGATAATAATGGTAGATAATATATCTTTATATGTAAACATTCTTTTATATAGGTACTACAATTGAAGTAACTATTATGAAATTAGTGATCATCTTGTTGTGCTAATAAGGTGTGGAAACTTGGATCAATGTATATATGTGTATATAGCCCCCAAATGCCCTGATGCGGCCGAGAGTGGAGAGAGTTCGCTCTCCCTCTCCAAATGCTCTCACATGACCACACGTATATAGCCTCTGCTAGGGAAGTCCTACTCACTGACTTCTCGCAACACCAGTGTTGTTTAAGAAAATGAGAGGACGAAAAGCGAATGTCCGGCCCTTTAATCTGCTTGGTGGACATGGACAGTCTACCTGGAAGAGTTGGAAAACTACAATTTCAAAACAGTGGTGCACATGGGCTCCAGGATCCTAAGGGAACAAATTACGTATGAACCCACTGGTCACTAACTACCATGAGACTGCATCTCCTTACGTTACTCCACTGTCTTGTGGATCAGACCTTTAGGTCAAAGTCTTGAGGAATTGCCCCCTACGTAAACCACCTGCTTCAGTTTGAGCACTCTGACAATATTTTATCCCTTATATGGATTGAATGATTTATGTGGTGCATATCTAATTGGTGCCTCCCTTTATCAATGTTTATATGTTTAAATAAATAATAAAATAATATTAATAATGTGCAAATTTAACACCTATTAAATTGTACAAGCTAAAAATGTAAACACTTAAATGAATGTATAATAATCTCATTAACATTGAAGTGATATTTACCAATATCATTATTAATAACAACAATAATGTAGACAATTCAATGTATCAAAGTCTTCTATGAATACAGAAAAATAAAAAATAATTGAACATCTGTCTGTACTACGTATTTGTTAGTTTATTTATTATTTTCTAAACAGTTGATTCTATTCATTGGATAACAGTAGTAGTAGTGGTGTGTGCTACTTATACTGAAATAAGTAGTATATGATGTTAGTCAGGAACAGAATGTCTGGCAGCAGAGAAACAAAGAGAATCGAACAGTAAATAATGGAAACAGAATGTAATTTGTATGAAAATGCAAGAATAATAAAGTCTGAGTTATTATGAGACAATTGATAGACATTTTGCAAATTACGTACTTACTATTTGATTGTTAGATTTTATTAATAAGTCCTATAATGCTGTGTTAAATACATTGGATTGTCCCCATTGGTGTTCTTGTTCACTACAGTGGTAGTAGTAGTAGTCATAATTATAATATTGAAACTCAAAAGATAAGTGTTTTTCTCTTTCTTTTCTTCACTAAAATAATTATTTTCTCAAGTATCACTAATTCATAATTTCTACAAGTGTGTGTGTGTGTGTATGGTGTATATTATTCAATTTATTATTATTACATTTCAATATGGTGATCATTCAAATTATATTTGACTGCATCAAAACACTAAAGAATTGCAATCTTATTATTATTTAGTTTACTGCACATCATTATAAAGTACAACAAACTAGTTTATGACTACTAGTATAGGGGTTGTGGAGATTATTAAGTTTTTGATTGAGATCATGAACCGATTGATGTAAGGCCATCACAATTGAAAACGTGGAAGCACTAGACGGCCGTTTCGTCCTATTGTGGGACTCCTCAGCAGAGCGCATCCACGATCCGGCTCGTGGGATTCGAACCCAGGGCCTTCGGTCTCGCGCGAGAACGGTTAATCATTAGACCATTATCACCATTGGATGCCGGATCAGTGGTCCAGTTGGTTAAACGTTCTTGTGCGAGACCGAAGGCCCTGGGTTCGAATCCCGCTCGCGGGATCGTGGATGCGCACTGCTGAGGAGTCCCATAATAGGACGAAACGGCCGTCTAGTGCTTCCACGTTTTCAATTGTGATGGCCTTACATCAATCGGTTCATGATCTCAATCAGTAGTTTATGACTAGTTCGTTCTTGTTAACAAATCATTCTTTATAGGTATTGACTTATGAAATATTGTCACAATTATAAGTAATAAGGGGATATATTTATGTTGATATTCAGTAGAATAATGAGTCTATATATATAGTATACAGAGTTTTATCACTAGCCTTCAACGCAGCATAACTCAAATCTGAGTACTTGAATCACTAAATCTGATTTCTGATGTGTATTGTTGCGTCAAAAGTTTTTATACCTGTTCAAACTTTCTGTTTTAGAACTATCAAGTTAATTCATAATTCCTGAGCCTCTTTTCCCTTATAGGATTTTTAATCAAATATTATCTCGAAGGTCTTGGTAAAAGTGTTTTTATTCATCTTCTTACTCCTGACACGTTTATTAATTGACAATTTATCATCCTTTACGTTGATATTCAGTGTTGTTTAGTTTATTTAAATCAGGTTTTATCAACTTTACTCGTTGGGAAAAGCGTTTTGTATCCTTTATTCGAATAGGTTCTGAGGAACATGACAATTTTTTCCATTGTTAATAAAGCAAATCATATATGGCAATTCTATTGATGTCTAAATAACAAACAGGCTTTATAAATTTGTCGGTGTATCTACTTCTGTAGACCAACAACATATTGTTCTGTTAAATGTACGCATGATCAACTGTAAGTCGGTAAGTGAGCTCAAAACTACGGATATTGAAGTTTTGTGATATGTTACAAAATAAGATGATACTTATTAAAAAATCTATAATGCCGTTGTTATGTTCTTCCTAATTTGTCTTTAGTCTACCAATAAACATCACCTTAGTTTGAATGAATTGAAAGCAAGATATTATAGACACTAACTTATTCAAACATGACAACCGTTAGTCGACGAGAAAGGTTTTAAGAATGTGTCTAGACATTGATTAGATAAAGTATAGCTAGTCAAGTGGTCCGAATATGTCCTCTGCCATCTGACAAGCGTAAACATATAAAAATAACTTCTTATGAATCGATTAGTTCCACTAGACGAACATACGCCACTTTCTGTGTCAGTACACAATAAAGACGCTGATCATTCGTCAATCCAAACATAAGTATTAGTTTATCATGTTATATATATATATATATGGTTGTAGGCATTTGATAAGAACGTATGAAATAAAAACAAATTTATATTACTCTGTTTTCTTGTCTATATTTTGAGTTATTCAATTAAACCTTTTGTTTTATCTTCTCAAGAGTTATTAGCAAAGGATGATATAACCATTACTACTAAAGAGTAATTGGATTACATTTTGTAAACACCCTTTACTTAATACATTGTGTTGGGCTATAACATAGCAATTTGGGCTAAGTAACTCAACAAGGTCCAGATATGTTTTAGTTGACAAGTTCATAATAAGATAAAATAAATGCCACTGATTCCACTGTTAACCATAATCTGAGTATGCAAACAGTTATTTCCAGTTTAGCACCCCAGATAATAATAGCTTAGCTCTCAAAAAGATCATAAAGAGTAACAATGAAGAGAACTAAGTAGTGATGAGTAGATTTTCGAACTCTATTGCATCTGATACGTACAAACTCAACCATACAGTTTGGAAACTAAATGCAATAACACAAAACATTCATATTGACGTCGTACATATGCTATTAGTAAGGACTAGAAGTGAATGAAAGAAAATAAGTGAATAAGATTACGACGATAATAAACTCACTTTCTGATTCACGTATATATGATACACTGAGCATAGGATGTTTATCCTCATCTGTCGTCGGAGATACATATCTCATACATAATTTCATTGTTGGATTCAATGAATCAAACATATAACCACCAATGGCCAATTCTTTTGTTTTATTGAACTGTACCGAAAGTGAATGAAACGATTAAGACGAAAAACAAAGAAAAAACATAACAAAACAGAATAATACAAATGAAACGGATCAGATTCAATCTCTGGTGGGGTCGTGGATGCTCACTGTTTAGTCACATACAGGGACAAAACAAGTGTTTACTTGTGCTTCCTAGCTTTCAATGGTTGCCTAAAAAGGTGTCAGTCTTTTGATCTGAAACTTCAAATTTAACAACCTCTGCAAACAACTCCCATAATAACAGTTTTCTGAAATTTAATTTTACTTATCCAGTTACGTTTAGTTGTCGAGTTGATTTTTTCAATTATTACGGCATTTGATTAAGTAATCATACAGTAGAAGCTATAGGGATACGAACCGAAAACCCTAGTTTGTGTCCGGAAAAAATTCGTGACACCCCTGTATCCGCCTTGACTGAATATGACTTAGTAAACGGCTTTATCAATTTTTCACATCCCGTATTTGTTTGTCAGTTGTTACTCTTTCAGTTTAGATTCTCCAATATCTAATTATCTACACATTTCTTACAGAGCAATTTCAATTGTGATTTGTGATTATTGTTTGAAAGTTCATTTATCCAAGTTTGACCTATTTTCAACGTTGGACTAATGACTAGAACTTTCATTTTATTATTCTTATCAACACTAGTACACCAGTCTGGATGCGCACTGCTAAGTCCCTTATTAAAACAACTCTCATTCAACACTTCTAGATTTTTAATGATGGTCTAACTTAGATCAGTTCATAGTTTTAATGAAATTCTTACTATTAATTCGTGCTTTCTACCTATTGCGTGTATATATATAATCTATTTCATTGTGATCATAGACTCATAAACTGCTTTAATTGGTTTAAAAAGTTTTCATATAAATATAAACATTAGATTAAAGCCTGATGTGGATCTAATTGAAAACAATATTGTGTTGTTTTAGTTCTTACAACGGGAATCTTTAACTGCTAATATATCGATTTGTTTTTTAGTTACGGACACCAAAAACTGAAGTCTAAATTTTTAATCATGAACCTTTCTTTAAGAAGAAAATGAATGTATGGAAATAAAATTAAATCTGTTTATTACCTGAGTGATAGTATAACCAACGTGTTCATAAAAATCATTTATTGTGTATACAGCATAATCACCAGTTGCTGGTGGATAATCTAATGTTTCATATTGTGAATCCCATTGACGTAAGTATAGATGACAAAATGCTTTATGTGATACATCACCAAAAGATACATGGGCTGCCCGATAAAATCCAAATTCAATTAACTGGGTTTTGGGGGCGGGGGAATCAAAAGAAACGAAGAGAAAGTTAACTCAAATATCGTGAGCTGATTAAAGTTAGAAACTATAAACCATTGAATAGCAGCTCAGTGGTTTACAGGCCAAGAGTGCGACATGAGATCTGAAAGGTCTTTGTTTCGATTTCCTATGGGTTCATAGATGAGGACTGCTGACGAGTCCGATACTAGGATGAAACGGTTGTCCAGTTTCTCTTGGTTCTCAACTGCCTTTCAACTACAATCAGTCTGCGATGTAAACAAAAAAATTCGGCCATCTCCATAAACCCCTCATACTAATAAAAATAAACTATATTAAAATGACGGTGTAACACCGATGGAAGATTAAAGAACGTGCTAAACAACTTCAGACACATTTAAACATTAAAACCAGGACAAATTGCAACACTAGTCAGTACCACTAATGAGTGTATAGGCTTTACTTCTGACCAAATTGTACATGCGACTCGTATACTAAGCAGGGATTTGTATATCGAACTTACAAAAATACCGTGTATTTTAGGGTTAGTGACACTATTTAACCGTTCTGATCTAATTACTAAAAGTAAAGTGTGAATTTTTGACTTATTGATTGAACGAGTAAATTAACCACTAAGCCAATGATACGATAAGGACAACTATAAAATGATATGATTATAAACGTAGAGTCTAGCACAAATCTCTGTCGATTCAATTCACCGCATCGAAAGACAGCATGTCGACAGGGAAAATGAAAAGCTCAGTAAAAAAAAACCACAATAATTAAGCTAAAGAAACTGTAAGGGAAAATTATCACCGAAATTTGTATCCGTCACTAAATTGATATCTACATTAACAGTTCTGAGTACAGTTTACAGTAGGAGTCGTGCATGCATGCTTCTGTAGTCTCAAGTAATGACGAAACAAGCGTTCAGTACTTTCTGGCGTTTAGATGTGCCATAATTTATATCACCAATCTATGACGGAAATAAAAATATTTAAAAGCTAGCTAGTTGAAACAAACATGATTTTTTGAGACGGAATATCACGTATGAAAACGGTTCATCTCATAGACTAACTGACTGATTGACTCAGGAATATGTTACACATGATTATGACTATTTGTACATTTGTCTACTTGTCTATATAAATCATGTGACCATAAGTTGGTTGGAAACATCATCAGTCCGAAGTAACAGTCAGATATCATTAACACAGGCTCTAGCAAGAATGTGCCTCCGCTTGCGCTACCATATATCATAGACCTGACCTATCTGTATGACCAAAAAAGGAATATGGATTTTTAACCCTGTGTTATCACAATATAGCTGTTCATGGACAAAATCAACACTACAGACCTTATTACTATCTAATAAGAACGATAAATGAATAAGATTACGTGTGGAGGATCCTGAAATTTACAGTTAGGTAAGTGGTCATGTATACAAAAGATACAAAACAAAGATGACTAGACTTCAACGAACCACATGAAAAGATTTACCTGGATTGTAACTAATAATACCTTGAGAATTTGAACGAACAGTTTGAATGGAATACGTCGTTTAGCATGAAATTTGCCAATAGGTGTCATAAAATGATAATACAATCGACGACGCATCCAACTTTCTACTTCGCTTGGATTAACAAAAGTAGAAGCTGTTGAATCCGCACCGTCTTCTGTAGTTGGTAATGATGTTGATGCACCTGCTGCTGTTGCTGCAGTGGAATAAACATGATCACCACCATATTCATCATGATCAGAAATAAGTGGACGTTCTTCAAGCGTTGAATCACTGTGTAGGTAATTACAATTGGTGTGTTCATGTGGTGCATTGTTTTGTGGCTTCTCAAAATACTTAACGAGACGAAGCATTACTTTCTCTACAACACCCTGAGATTCATGTTTGTTAGTATTATTATTATTACTAATGTTGAAATCAGGATTATTCATGTGTGAAACATAAGATGGGGGTAAATGTAAACAAGGTGGCACAAAGAGATGTGCTTCATCAACGTTATTATCATTCCTTTCGAAGTTAGATTGATCTGGTGAAAACTGATTACGATATCTATTAGCATAAAGAGGATCCGGAAGCCTGTAATGTTCAGTGTGACCAGTATACTCTACAATTTTCTCCTTCTTAAAACGTTTAGACATAGCAGGTAGGTAATGGGATTGAATTAAACAGAATACATTTGCTTTTAATACCTGCAGGGAGAATTTACGTCAGAAAAACAAAACTATTACTAAACCGGTAAAATTGAAACGTAAATTCATTTCAAAATTGTGAAAAGCATGAGCCATAGAAAAAAAAGACAGGTAAATGAGTGGACAATAATAATGTGTTAACTCTTTTTCGGTCACAAAAATTCAAGTATGAATTAATGATCAAATTAAATATCCAATTAAGAACCAAACACAAGTAGCACCACTTTGGGGAATTTCGGGGTTTTAACCATACTCGTGAAACATAAGATGGTTTTACCCAAAGTTTGTGGAAAGTATGAAGGAAAAAACCAGAGTTATAAGATTCTGTAGACGTATTGAGAACGTTACCAAGATCTTGGGAAATTTCTCTAGACCTAGGGGGATTCTTGAGGACTTGAGGCATTTTCCCAAAGTTTTCTATAGCTGATTCCCCAAAATTTACCTAGACCGGACGAACATTACCCCAAAATAGGGAGATTCTGTTCATGATATGAAATTTTCATCATCAGTAAAAAGTATCGTAAGACAGAGTTTGCACTGACTGACCTACCAATATATAGCTTTACAATAATTAGCTTGCAGTCCGAAAAAAATAGCGGGGTTGAAAATCGGAATAAATATATGCAAAATAGGGAGAAACAATGATATAATTACTAGTCGGTTCTAACAATATGACAGTCAGGAAAATGTGAACATACTAAACAGAAAAAGGTACTTAAAATCATTATTATACCTTGAAGCAACATAAACTCAATATAATCACAAGCTTCCTTCTTAACTGGGAGCGACTTTAAGGCCAGATTCTGTAGATACCGCCACATTTTAACCTTCACCCACCGGTATTTTTTTTAACTTGAAGAGATACTGTTTCAATTTTCATCACTTTTCGTTCTGAAGCGAGTAAATCAACAATTTACGTGAGATTATTCTTGTACACAAGGTTGTAAAACTTTATAGTCAATACGTAGGGCTTTTACTCATGTACACGCTAAAACGTTTTTGACAAATTAATTGTCAGCTGAACATCGACTTTCTCATCGAGTTATTAACGGGTGAAATTCATTACCTCAGCATGTGATTGAGGCTCCATCCGTTGACACTTTCAGAAGAAAGTTGGATCAGCTGAGAGACTACCATTGCCAGGACTAACACAGGCCATTAAGCCTCCTATCCTTTCCAAACTGAAACTGAAACCTGCCTTCTAGATAATGGATGATGAGTCTGCACCTCATGGTCAGTAAATGCAAAAACATTGTGGTGGACTTCACTGATGCTCTATTCACCACATAATTTGTAGAATATTCCAGCAGCACCCTATCCTCGACAGAAGGTTACCTGGGAATAACTATATGTTATAATTAGGGTTTCTATTTTTCCTGGCTTACTGCAGCTAACAAAAAACATTCGACCTCCAGAACCCCAAAATCGCTTAGAGATTTTGTCAGCAAATACCAAGGCTCTCAGTTAAAAAATCCTGCTCGATGTCACCCTACGCTTTTGAAAGTTAGTAATTGTAAGGCAACTAGAAAGTACTAGTACTTCAAAATTATCGTCAATCAGGCCATTTGGAAACTCGTAACCATTACCCTGTGTAGTGCGGTGTAATTATGGGTATGTGGTCCTTTTGTATTACATAGCCTATAATTAATATTCCCGCTGACAGATCACCAATCCACTTTACCACCAAATCACATCTAAAAGGACATCTGTTTAACTAAGAACACTAACGACCTCTCGAAAAAATGCATGTAAAAATTTTCTTGATATAGATCACTAAACTGTAAAACTCATCAATTGATCCAGTGGTAACTTCACTCTCCTCAATGTCATTCAAAACGAGGCTCGATATTTACTCCAGTTCCACCGATACCTAAAGTGATGACATGTCACTCCACGATTAGTTTCACTAATAATGGACGAAAAAAGCTTTGATTTAACGAGATTCCGTATCTAGTAGCAGTGAGTAACCGATGCCTCCATGTAAGAACCTAGGTATGTCAACGATAAAAGAAAAATAATGAAATGTTGGTAAATGCTAGTGGGACGCTGTCTTTATTCCCTAAGATTATGTCATATATTCTCTTAAAGGACTCCTGGGATGTAAGTTGGACTTACTCAGACGGCAGCGAATTCTGTAGTGGCATTGCACCCTAACCACACAATCCTCAAAGCTGAACACGGTACTACTCGGAAAATACATATTCAATATTTAACGCGGAGAAAAACCCAACGGGGAGAATGCGGGAAGGATGAATAGAGTTAATTCGAACTGATGAGATGGCGTGGCTCGGCCTTGCAGGCGTAGTCTCTGTTGAATGTTATTTCATATCTTTTATTCGTATTAAATATATTGTTCTATCTTATAGATTATGGTAGTTACATAATGATAAATCCATTAGTATCATGAACGACTGTAATTCGACAGTCCCACTCTTAAGAAGTAGGAGGTGTGCCTATAGTTCACTATGCTATGTTGTGCCGCTAACTTCTGTAACACCCCTAAGGTTTGTGAAGACTGAGCTAAAGAAGGTGTTTAAGGGTGATGCCCAGTAGTTTCTTGGAATGCTATAAATTATTAGGTCACCGCTGAGACAACTATACTCTAACAGTGTAAAGATTCAGTGGTTTGAAGCATTCGCATTTGAATCCTTAAACTAATTTCGTGGCTCGCTGTGATCTACTTCCTATTGTGTTCTTATTCCTTCAGAGTGAGGAAGGAAACACTATTTTCCTGCTCTAAATGTGACCGAGTAAAACTGTTTTAGACTAAATGGAAATTCTGCGTCAAAATGACTAGGAATGAGTTTCAACGTTACCAGTCCATAGTTTGCCTTAGAGGTATCTCGTCGCAGTCAACATAAGACTTTAGATAGTACGGCACCAACAATCGTAGATCTTTCTGAACATGAAATTGCCGAAGTTTTATTTGTAGTCTGCGACATGTATCAGATAGACCGTTTTACGGATTGTGACATTCACGTTCATATCTTCCAAATCCTTAGAGATGGTATAGATGAAGGTGTCGCATTTTACGAGTGTTCACAGAATATTTCACTCTAGAACATGAACCCAAAACGTATGATGATGCATAGTAAATGGTAAGGAGTACTTTGTGAACATTCTCAAGCCACAGATATCGTGAATCGCGCATTTTTCTGAGCTATCAGTTTAAAAAGTGATATCTGGTTACTCCCATCTAGATGTGTCGGTGGAAAAGGATTACCTATGATCGAGGCTAAGGTGACCTTGGGAATGCTCACCTACTGACTACGGCTAAAAGAATATTATAAAGCTGTTTTAGGAATCAGAATTATGATCTACAGTTGACTGTTAGGGTTAGGAACTAGATTTACTGTTTTTATTCACTAAATGGCATCAGCTCAAATGCCAGTACGCTTGTTAGCCAAATTTGTGGGTGAATTCTGAGCTAGAACACAAGGCCTGTTATCGCAAACCTGATTGGTTCGTCCTTAAAGTATGGTATCTCCGATGTTTCCCTTTTCATTCTAATACATCCTCTTCAACACAATGATCATCGGACTGTGAGGTTTGAGACTCGCAATAACAGAGTTGCAGAAGCACTCGAGCAAAAATAAATCTGCAGGTTTGTGCAGCATCAAGAATTTCGAAGAGATGTGAGTGAAAACTTTTCTTTCGATTTTCTACTTACTTCGAGTGATCATTGGTTAAGAGTAATGTACCCATTAACTAGAAAATGGGTATAGCTGGGACACTAAACGAAAACCACAGCATAGTCGAAACTTTTAATAACAGACGAACGTCTTCGCTTGCTATCGTTGTGGAGACCATGTAAAAGGCTATATGTGAATCTCTTCGAGGCACAATTTGAAACACTACTCTGCACCGTTTCCGAAATAGTTCTTACCTCAGACAGCTCTAGTAACACAAGGCTGTACACTTCCTGATATACTTGAGGACTGTAGTTAATATATGAAATTTCCGCGACATTGGCCTTCTTGCCTTATCCAAGACATTTGATGGAGTTGAAAATTGAATTTTTACTTTGGACCTGAAGATGATGATTTCAGTGCTGTTTAATTGGGAGGTATCAAAAGGTTAGTGTTCACTTTGAATTGTCTGATTATTACAAATTGTCAACCTTTTTCGTTTCTTGACCATTTTTTTCATCACTTACTGACAACCTCTCGAGTATTATGGATACTAAAATTATGGAACACGAAAGTTAATTTCAAAAATGTTTAGATATAATTCACTGGCTTGAAGGATTGGGATCTGCAGCATGGAGATTTGCTTTCCGAAAGTGGATTGCTTCATCTAGTGAATATCAATGTGTTTAATAATGATTTATACAAACAAGACCCGTCATCTATCTAATTTTATTTTATTTTTACTCACCTTGATATATGAAGTTTTTTATGTCCGCATTCATAAGTATTACTGTCATCAATATTATTATTGGTCCCTTGACACCTAAGATATTCTTTTCATTTCTTCTAGTCGTTCTAGACATATTTTATTCCTAAACATCCAAAGTCTATAAATAAAAAACAAATTAGCTCACGGTACATTTAAATAAACTAACTACTCAGATTCATTTTATCTTCACTTCATACATATATATAACTCACAGAAATCTGTATTTGATTATCCTTTTCAATTAATTGTGACTTTCATAGCATCATGTTAAATTATTATTGCACAAATGGTTATACGTATATCCGGTTTCACTCCGTATACTATCATATAAATCTACGTGTATTTATCCGAGTGCAGCGAATGATTTTTCTTATCTTATTTTATTATTTTATTTTATTTACTTTTTAAATTGTTGGCTGACTTCAGAGGTTGATATTCATTACACAGTTGTTATCATTATTATCATGGTTGAACCCTTTCACTAGATGTTCATTTCTTTTCTCTCTCTTTTTCTCATCTAAATAAATATTATTCTTAAGATTATGAAGTTTGTAATAAAGACAATAAATTGTGTTACATTTAAATTAAATTCTCAGACTCGTTTCATCTTCACTGTGTATATATGACTAATACATATTGATATTTGATTATCCTTTACATCTGATTGAGACTTTCATAGCATCATTTCAAACTATGACAGCACAAACATTCATTCTAACGTCATATCTTACAGCAATAAGTTGTTTTTTCTTGATTATTTTCTATTTTATTTTTGTTACTAATTTGACGATAAATCCTCAGTCGTTTATCTTCGTTGTGTGTTTACAAACACGCTTATTAAACTATTTGCGTATTTCACGTCTACTTTATTTCTGCCCCCTAATTTTCTCCCTTTATTTCTTTAAACTTAATTCAATATTCTTCTGATTTACACAGGACCTGACTTATTATTATTGTCTTTTTCAAATATGTCAAATATAATGCTAACATTACTGAAAACTGTGTATTATTGCATTTTTTAAGAAATACGAAATGGTTTCTTTACAACACTTATGTACCCATAAGATGTTTGTGAATAATAATAATAATAATAATAGTTACTGGACTACGGTTATATTCCGATAATATTGTTGTTTTCACCACCTAATCTATCAGTTGAGTGAATACTTAGATCTATGCAACATTTTGTGTATCGAACCTAATAATTTGCCTTAGTTAACCATATTATATGACATGTAACTATTTCATATTGCCAGAAAACTGACATGCCTCATATAACTTGCCGTTAGTTGATACAAAGATATTGTCGTCTTCTCAAGAACTAAAACTGTACAAATTAAGGTGACACTTGTCAATAAATTTGCATTGAATAAAGTCACACTTGGTCCTTCCGTAGTAACCTCAATTCCTAATTTAATGTGGATGGCATTTAGGCTCTCTT